AAGCCCAGAAATATATCCATGCAGACATCAAGTTGTGATATCTGAGAGAGAAGTGTCATGATAGGTCAGTAAATGGAAAAAAATTAAAATTAGATTCCTCATATCATAAACAAAAATTCCAGCCCTATTAAGAACTTGAATTTCAAGAACAGCACTTTCAATAGAAAATATAAGGGAATATATTTCTGACTTTCAGGTGAGGAAGGATTTCCTAATCAAGATGCGAAAACTATGCTATTTTGTGCTAACCATATAATTTTAAATTTGACTACAGGTATATGAGAATGCCTAAATTGTAGTATATTTATACAGTGGAATACAATGTAGCAATATTGTTTGTAGTCAAATTTAACAATATAGCAGTTTTAAACAGATAAAACTTAAAAATGAAAATCTTAAAGTGGAAAAAAACCCAGACACAAGTGGAAGGAGATATTCGTGCACACGTACACACACGTACACACACACACACACACACACACACACACACATCTGAAAAAGGACTAGAATCAAGAATATGTAAAGAACCACAAATCAGGGCCAGGTGCGGTGGCACACGCTGGTAATCCCAGTACTTTGGGAGGCCTGAGGAGGGTGGGTCACCTGAGGTCAGGAGTTCAAGACCAGCCTGGCCAACAAGGCAGAACCCAGTCTCTAGTAAAAATACAAATATTAGCTGGGTGTGGTGAAACACTGTAATCTCAGCTACTCAGGAGGCTGAGACAGGAGAATTGCTCAAACCCAGGAGGCAGAGGTTGCAGTGAGCCAAGATTGTGCCACTGCACTCCAACCTGGGTAACAGAGAAAGACTCTGTCGAAAGAAAGAGAGGGAGAGAGAGGGAGAGAGAGGGAGGGAGAGAGGGAGGGAGGGAGGGAAGAAGAAAAATGGGTCAAAGACCTGAACAGGCATTTCTCGAAGAGGAAACTCATGTGGCCTACAAATATGTGAAGATGCTCAACCTCTCCAATAATGAGGGAAATGCAAATCAAGACCATGGTAGGACATTTACACCCATTTGATTGACAAAACTTGAGAATTTTGATAATACCAAGTGGCAGAGAAAACTACTTTGGATACATTCCTGGAAGAATTATTCATAGGCCCACTCTGGAAAACAATTTGGCATTGTATTATAAAGCTGAATATCCATATACCTTACCACCCAGCAATGCTACTCTCAGGCATATACTCTAGCGAACCATTTGTACACATGATCCAGGAGATATGTATGAGTCAACATGTGTAAGTCTCAAAAACAGGAGGAAGAGTGAAAAAAGCAAGCCTCAGAAAACTGATGCTCTTTTCATAAAGCTGGAAACAAGCAAGACTAAAGAAATCATTTCAGTATATCACGCAATAAAACTAGAGGATTTTTTTTTAACAGCAAGGATGAAATTCAGGAAGCCATCTCTGAGGGGAGACAGAGGGAAGAGGTGGACTTAAATCATTAGAAACGCTCTGGTTCCTTGGTTGGGTCATGGGTTCACAGGTCTCTGTTTTTATTTTGAAAAAATATTGTGCCCACGGACCCTCTCCTGAAACATACACTCCCGCTCTTCCTGCAGGCCCCTCCCCTCTGCTGGAGACTGATAAAGGCGGCAGTCACCCGCTGTGATGACAGGAGAGGGTGTGCCCTGTTTAGGGAACTTCCCCCGCTACTACTTGCTCTTAGTACTTTCCCCAGCCAAACCCCATCTTCACAATGCTCATGTTAGTGGCTGCGGAATCTCTGTTAAGGTGCTGTTTACTTTCATGGCTGCTGCTTGGCACTGGGCTGTTCCTCACTGCTTCCTCACTATCCCAGGCAACTTTTCTGTACACATCAATGTGCAGAAAGCTCTCTTTGTTCCCTGGGCTCATGTCTAAGAAGGAAGGTTGTTTATATGGCTCTTGTAAAACAAGCTCATAGTGTCCTCCAGAAAGAGAAACCCATCTCAGAGTCCACGGCAGTTCACAAGGTTTCTGTTTCCTTCTGTTGTACTGGCCCCAGCACAGAAAGTCAACACCGAGACAAAAGTATGCCAAATTGCAGGGTCTTTATTGCCGGCGGCCACGGAGGACTCGCGTCTCTCCAACCCATGGCCCCGGAAGGAGGGTATCAAGAACTTTTATACCCATAAAACCACCTTGGCAGTGAGGGTGAGGGGCAGGGGTGGGGGTGAGGGGCTTCAGACATTCTGAGGGCTAGTGGATCCTGTAAATCACCTCCTGAGCAGAGATGTGGGTGAGGGGCTCCGGACACTCCGAGGGCCAAGGGACTTTGGACATTCTGATTGTTACTTAAGTGGTTCACAAAAGTCAAGATTAGCATTTGTTTACACATTGTCTGGGTAGGGTGGAAATCACGGTCCTTAATTACTTATTACAAGTTGCAGGGACCAAGATGGCATGGGCTTGGACTGCTTGCCTGTCACATTGGGGTTACAGAGAGCAGTTTCAACAGAAAGCCGAGGTATGGCTGAGGTATGCAGTTTTATGGGGCTTTTACCATGTCACATTCCAGTCCCACCGGCAGCATGACGCCTTATAATTCGTATTGATTTTTTGTCATTTTGTAGTATGATGAGATATCTTGTTTCTGTTCTTGTGATTTTTTTTTTTTTTTTTTTTTTTTTTTTTGCGGGGAGGCTGATCACCCACATTATCAGTCCAGGTGTCCTCGAAGGGGACATTCTTCCATGTATTCTCACATTCCTACCCTCTGGTCCTCTGTCTCGTGGGAGCTTGCTCCCGAAGCACTGCAGGAGACACTGAGGCCTGTTGTAATGACAAACCGAGGCATCCTCTCTAAGCTGCTCCTCTCATTTCTGCCAAGATCCCTGCAGATCCCAGCATTCTGGAAAAGTTTCTCCAGAGAATTCTTTAGAGGACGTGTCCTGGCTGAGACACTAGGGTCCCTTGCCTGGCTGGGGATAGCACTGTGGTGGGCCTAGACAGCAGGGATCTGTGGGGAGGCCGAGCTGCATATGCCAAATCTAAGGCCAGCCCTGGAGGAGTGGCCCTTCGTGGCCACCAGCCTCCATGGGGTCCTCACCTGGGAATGTTACCAAGCTGCCCTGCTAACCCCTGCCAAGGCTAGGACCACTTTCAGAAGCCACCACGAGCCCCTCACTCTGCTATTGGACAGGGTGGACAGCCTGGAACAGAGTTCACTGTCTGCTTAGGGAGAAGCCCCCTTTCCTGCTTAGGCCCCTAGTTTCCTGCCAGTCACACTAGGGGGCTGCCTCCTTCTCAGACTGCGACTGCAACTCCGTAATCCAGGGAAGAGGTCTCCAACTCATCGTCCATGGGACAAATCCAGCCTGCGACACAGTTCCCTTGGCCAGTCTATTTGCTACCTCACTGTATCTTGGAATGTGATTTAACTGCCAACAGGCAATTTCACATAAATGCAGCATTTTCTTTTTGAAGTTTGGCCGATGGGACAGCATTCCCATCCGGCAACAATGAGCAAAGCTGAGCAGCGGCCCCTCCTTCAGACTGAGAGTCTGCTTTGCTACTGATGGATTGATTGAGACAGAGTCTCACTCTGTCGCTCAGGCTGGAGTGTAGTGGTCTGATCTTGACTCACTGCAACCTCTGCTTCCTGGGTTCAAGCGATTCTCCTGCCTCAGCCTCCTGAGTAGCTGAGACTACAGGTGCGCACCACTATGCTCAGCTGATTTCTGTATTTTTAGTAGAGATGGGTTTTCACCATGTTGGCCAGGTTGGTCTCGAACGTCTGACCTCAAGTGATCTGCCCGTGTTGGCCTCCCAAAGTGTTGGGATTACAGGCATGAGCCACTGCACCTGGCTCCGGCTGCTTCTGATTTGTGCGTGCAGGAGGCCCAGCAGGGTCCGGCGCCATTTGCTCTTTTCGCTTGTCTTTGCCTCCTGCCTGGCTCCAGGCTTGGGATTCCTCATCTCAGCAGGATTTGGAGGTGCATCAGAGGCAGGGAACACAGAGAGAGAGCACGCTCAGATGTGTGTGTGCTGGGAGGTGGGGGGGGGGCTGCATAAGCCCCCCCAGAGAGATGTATGGCTAATCCTCAGAACTCGTGAATATGTTTCCTTACACGGCAAGGGGGGAGTTAAGTTGCGAAGCTAAGGTTACTACTCTGCTGACTTTAAAATAGATTATCCTGGATTGTCCAGCTAGGCCCTATTAATCCCAGGATCCTTAAATGCTTAAGACTCAAAGAAATGCGCAGTGAGAAGGATTTGGGCAGCCATTGCTGGCTTTGAAGATGCAAGGGGTCCCGAGCCCAGGAATGAAGGAGGCTCTAGAAGATAGAAAAGGCAAGGAAGGAAATGAGCTCTGCCCTGGAGCCTCCAGAAAGGAAGGCAATCCTGCTGACACCTTGATCTTAGCCTGCTGAAGCCCAATTGTTCTTCTGACCCCCAAAACCACAAGGTAATAAGTCTCTGCTGTTTGAAACCACCACGTGTGGGCCTTTGTTACAGCAGCAATAGGAAACTGTACAGGAGGCACATGTGTAAGGCTGGAGGGGGCGGAGGAGGATACAGACTTCCCAGGGAGGGATGGAGAAAGCCACCACTGTCCTCCAACACTGACCTCTCAGAGATGTGGCTTCTGGACCAGAGCCAGCTGTACCAGCCTCTCCCGGCAGGGACCGCTTCAGCATCCCCCAGCACCACCTGATACCCCAAGGCCCTGGAGCACACCCTCTACAGATCCCAGAGGTCCCCCATCAGGTGGACAGGCCCCAAGCAATTGGTTCTCAATGTGCCAAAGAGGTAACAGGCTGGGAGAGGCACAGCCAGGAGCTGCACGCCACCTGCGACAGGAGAGGGCCAGACGCCACACCTGAGAACTCACCCTTTCTGGGAGAGCAATCTGCTCCTTCCACAGACTCCCCACAGCCAAACAGGCCCAGGCAGTCTCCTGTCTACACCTGTGCTGAGAAGCAGCCGCATAATTGCTGGGAATCACCATAATTGCCACCCTCCTGGCCCCGCCCCCCAGGAGACAGGACCACAAGCCAAAGCCAGGACCCACCTGACCACAGTCCAGGCCCAGCCAGACCCTCGGAAACAGACCGTTTAGGTTCCACTGGTGTCCAGGAAGTCGTGTCACAATGGAGTGGGGAGGTCCGTGGGATGGGCTGGGAATGGTGAGGGGCAGCATTCTACTCCAGGGGCAAGGCAGGTTGGGAAAACTGCTGCCTGATCCCGCGCTTCCTCCGTGTGAGGGCTCCACCTCCACTCCGGGAAATCCTCCTCTCCTTCCAGATGTCACTCATTGGTCAGCTTCCTTCAAGCGTTCCTGAACCCACAGCTGGAAATAGCTTGGCCCTACCCCACTCACCTCTGCTCTGTCTCTACATGACGCTCCCTTGCAAAACAGCCTTGGTCAGAGCTGCCCGTGACTGATCTGTCTCCCGCATTAGCTGGAGGCCTCCTCTGCCAGATTGTTGAATGGGGCTTCAAGCTTCATACTTGGGGGAAGGGAGGTCAAGGGGGCAGGACGGCGAATCAGCACACGTCCTGGTACACGGCAGACCCGGGAGGGGAGCTGACAGCCCCTTGCCGGAGAAGAGAAAGCTGTGCCCTCCCTCGGAGCAGGCTGAGGCCCAGCAGGGGACAAGCCCCACTCCCCTGCAGCTTGCTGGATCCACCTCTGCTTCCTGAGGTTGTAGCAAAAGACAGCTCTCTTCCTGTTTTTATTTTTATTTTTATTTTTGAGGCAGAGGCTTGCTCTGTCGCCCAGGCTAGAGTGCAGTGGTTCGATCTTGGCTCACTGCAACCTCTGCCTTGCGGGTTCAAGCGATTCTTCTGCCTCAGCCTCCTGAGTAGCTGGGACTACAGGCATGCATCACCATGCCCAGCTAATTTTTGTATTTTTTAGTAGAGACAGGGTTTTTGCCATGTTGGCCAGGCTGGTCTCAAACTCCTGAACTCAGGTGATCTGCCCACCTCGGCCTCCCAGAGTGTGGGGATTACGGGCGTGAGCCACCGCGCAGGGCTGAGAGCTCTCTTTTTTTTTTTTTTTTTTTTGTCCCCTGCTCAGGACATGGCCCAGAGAAGCTCCAGAGAAAAAAGAGCAGCAAGAAAAGCTGATTTCCCAATCAGCAGACACAGCATGTACTCAGGACCTCAGCAAAAGTAGGGCATTGCTGTGGTTTAACATTTGTCCTCTCCAAAACTCATGTTGAAACTTCATCTCCAGTGTGGTAGCGTGATGGGGCCTTTAAGATGTAATTGGGTCAGGAGGGGTAATCTGTTAACAATCGCCGTTCATTAATAGATTAATGGGTTAACGAATTATGGGAATCGGGCTGGTGACTTTATAACCAGGCGAAGAAAGACAAGCTAGTTCACTCAGTTCCCTCACCTCTGTCCTCTTGGGACTCTGCAGAGTCCCTAGCAGCAAGAAGGCCCTTACCAGACGTATCCCCTAAACCTTGGACTTCCCAGCCTCCAGAACGATGAGAAATAAATTTCTTTTCTTTATAAAAAACTCAGTTTCAAGTATTCTGTTATCAGCAACAGGAAATGGACTAACACAGACACTAAAACAAAAAAATTAAAAGAATTTCATGTATCTGAAAAAAAACATCGAGGTATTAATCACAGGGAAACCTACTTACAACTATTTTGCAGTTTCCTGCTGCTCAGTCTTCACTTGTTTGGGGGCAGGGGACTGCAATCTTATTAGTATCTGGGACATCGTTCCTTCCTCTTTCACCAGACCTCCCTCAGGGTGTCTGCAGGTCACCTCAGTGGCTGGTCCTAGGCCCCTCAGCCTCTCTCAAGTTCCCCACTCTTGAGCAGCAGCACTCTGGGGGCCAAAGGGACCCGGCAGGCCGCACAGCGAGCACCCGGCAGCCATCACTTTCACACAGCTGGGCTAAGTGCTCAGGACTGAGTCACCATTGCCCTGACCTCTGAGGAGCAAAAGCAAGGAGGTGCACAGCCAGGGTGCAGTGAAGCCAACACCGATACCCTGCAGAGCAAGGGCCAGCCCTAGGGAGACCCTGGGCACTGGGAAACTGGGTTTTTCCTGGTTTCCAGACCAATTACTGTCAAGGCCTGTCCTGGCTCAGACCCCAACACCTCTGCAGAAAAATGGCATGGACCATCCATGGATGACACCAATCTTGCTTCATCTGAAGACCTCTGGGAGCAGGAAAACCCCAGACAGAGTGATAGTATTTCATCTCCAAAGAAACTTAGAGGCAAAGGCAAATTCAATTCAGAGGCTCCCCACCAACGGCCTGACCCCGGTCTCCTTGCCTACGGTGGAGAAAATGGAGAAGAGAGGTGAAGGAGGAAAAGGCCCAACCTTCGGCAGCTCCCAGAATGTGTGGGGGCAGTAGAGTTAATGGCCTCGCCATCAGCTGCTTCACTGACATCTCCGTGCAGCAGAAGTGCAGGTGATGGAGTAGGTTAAAGGTTTGGTGGTGGGAAGTTTGGGGAGCTGCCGCAGGATGGTTCTCTGGTTTCTAGCACTCTGCTAGAAGGTGGGAGGATGGGAGGTGTGCAGAGTGGAGGGTAGAGGTAGCCGCGGGGGAGGGCTGGGCAAAGCTGGCGGGAGCGCCGCGCACTAAGGACCCAGTTGAGGCTGGTGAGCGTTGGTTCAGAGAGGAACCGACTTGTCCAGGGTGTGACTCCCTATAGCAATGGCCAGCAGTCTGGGAGGCAGGGAAGGAAAAGGCCGATAACTGGGCTCATTCGCTGCTGCGGTTTTGCTACTTGGGTACAACCAAATGGTAAAAGGATCAAAGTGTCGACTATTGGCAACAGAGACAGAAATAATTTCCATCTCTCAATGGAAGTGAAAATGATGGCTTGCTTCCTCTAATCAGAGTAGAGAGGACTGTGGGAGGTGAGGAGAAAGTAAAAGAGTCAACAGACCATAGGGCCCAGTGAGGCTAAGGATGGTATTATGGGAAGAAGGTTCGTGTCCCTCCCAAATGTACCTATTAAAGCCCCGCCCCTCAATGTGATGGTATTTGGCGGTGGGACCATTGAGAGGTAAGTAAGATTGCATTAGGTCACGAGGGTGGGACCCTCAGGATGGAATTAGCGGCCTCATAAACAGAGGATGAGATGTCAGATGCGGTGATGCACGCATGATGTCCCAGCTACTCAGGAGGCTACGGCGGGGCCCAGGAGTTCCGGTCCAGCAGAGAGAAATTCTTTCTTTCTCCATGTGTGTGCACTAACTAAAGGTCATGGGAGGCCCAGAGAGACCGGGACATCTGGAGCCGGGGAGAGGAGAGAGGGCCCTCACCAGAACCTGACCGTGCTGGCACCTGATCTTGGACTTCCAGCTTCCAGAATTGTGAAAACATTCATTTCTGTTTTTCAGCCATGCAGTCAGTGGTAATTCATTGTGGGGGCCTGAGCTGACTCAGACAGACGGGAATACCGGCAAACGAGCCAGAAGGCTAGCGTGCTGGGCTCAGGGCATGAGAAGTCAGTCGGAGAGTCCTTCAGCTATGCACTCAGATGCCAGCACTTCCTGAGATTTTGGAGGTGGAGATGGATTTCCCCAAGCTGATGGCAGGGCTGGAGTGGAAGGGACAACCTTGAGTCAGGTAGTGGAGTTCTGGATGGATGAGGCTATGGTCTAGAGGGGAGCCCGGAAGAGAGATGGGTTTCCGTGAGAGGAGGCGTCACAGGTGGGAGGGGTAGTGGCTGAGAAACTGTCATGGTGGGCAGCAGCCTCCCCATCACCCTCCCTCCTGTGGGAGAGAGGAAGAGGCAGGAGGCAGAGCACCTTACAAGCAGCCCTGAGGACATGGACACCCCTGCCAGAGATGGAGACACCGTTCCAGCGACATAAGGTAGTGCCTGTGGTGGAAGTGGGTGAGGTGGTGGACAGGCCAGTGTGGCTGGAGTCAGTGGGGACCGTGTCAGTGCAGACCAGCAGTTGGCAGGGGAAGTGTGGGGCCATCTTAGACATTGGACATTCTAACACGGGAAGGCTGAGGCCCAGAGTAGGAGGGTCCTGCCCCCAAGACCTGAGATCTGAGTCTTCCACCAGCCCCCACAAAGCTAACCATAGCACTGAGTAATGGGTTCCTTGCTGGCATGTCCCTCAGATCCAGGCTGTTCTGTGTTCTGTAACACCCTCTGGGGACAGCGGTTCAGTATGTGCTGGCCACTGCCTGGCCCTGTTTTGCTTCTCAGAGTAGAGTCATGATCAGGCTGCATACCTTCTCCTTTGGGGACCCAGAGGCCTCAGCAGCCAACCTCCCATCAGTCACTGCTAAAGGGCATTTACCCATTCATCAGAACAAACTGGAAAAAAAAAATCTTTCTCCCCAACTAACCATAATCCCCTCAAAAAGAAAAGACAAAGTCTCCAGGGGCTGGGCACGGAGGCTCGTGGCAGTAATCCCAGGACCGTGGGAGGCCAAGCTGGGCAGATCACCTGAGGCCAGGAGTTTGAGACCAGCCTAGCCAACATGGTGAAACCCCGTCTCTACTAAAATTACACAAATTAGCCAGTCATGGCCGTTTGGGTCTCTTCCTGGAAGTGACAATCATTCTGTCTTAAAGGGAGCAAGTGTCCACATCTTAGAGAAGTAAACTGCCTTTAGCTGGGAAATGGCCCTTTCCCCACCTCTATCCAGTCTTCTCCACACCTTGGCAGTTTCAGCCTGGGAGGCACATTGCACCCAGAAAGACGTGCGAGTGTCCCCGAGAGGACTCCAGGGTGGGCACACAGTAGGAAGCTAAATAAAGATTTTGTCAGCACTTCAAGGCTGAGAACTGTGAGTGAGGAATATCCATGTGTTTGGAGGAGAGGTGCTGTGTGCTTCCATGCTGGGTGTACAGGAAACTGGTCCAGCACCTACCCCCAGTCCTGACCCAGCCATGTAGGAGAAGGTGAGCAAGCATGGGGGGCTGGGGAGCTGTGAGAAGACAGACTGGAACCTTCCCCCGGTGGGAGGTTAGCTGGGGGCAAGGCAGGGGCAGGGGTGGCCAGGCAAGCTCTTTTTCTGCCATTTGGTGAAACAATGATGTATGGTGTTCTTGCGGGCCAAGGAGGTGCTGAGGAAGGCAGCGTGGCTCGAGGTCTCTTGATGGGCACCTGTCCAAGATGGCCATCTTTTTTTATTTTTTTATTTTTTTTGAGACAGAGTCTCATTCTGTCACCCAGGCTGGAGTGCAGTGGCATGATCTTGGCTCACTACAACCTCCACCTCTGAGGTTCAAGCAATTCTCTGCCTCAGCCTCCCGAGTAGCTGAGATTACACGCATTCATCACCACATGGGGCTAATTTTTGTACTTTTTGTAGAGACGGGGTTTCATTTTGCTGGCCAGGCTGGTCTCAAACTCCTGACCTCAGGTGATCTGTCCACTTCAGCCTCCCAAAGTGCTGGGATTACAGGTGTGAGCCACCACGCCCGGCCAAGAAGGCCATCTTCTAAGGTCAGGGGCTAACAGCTGTAAGAGAGGCTGTGGGAGCAATGCTGGCTGGGGCTGGAGGAGTGCATTGGGAGCATACTGCTCATTCCGAGGAACAGCACCAAGGCCTGGGAGGATCTCTGAGAAGCCCATGAAGATGCCCCCTGGAAAGGCAGCTTTCAGAAGCCTGGCAAAGTGCACCAGCTGGCATTAGCCAATGTGTGCCCCAAAGAGCTGTGGCCAGCAGCAGCTGGGTGAAAGGACCTCTGGCCTTTCCCTTACCCTGCGTGGACCCTGGAAGGCCCAGAAGCAGCTGAGCACGAGCAGGAGGCAGGGGAGCAGGGGAGAAGAACAAACCTCCTCTCCCTCCCCACCCTGGTCCCCGAGCCACTCATAGGTTAGGCATGAGCTGACTGTAGGGCGGGCGTTGGGCAAGGTGGAAGTTTCAATTTCGGCTGAACTGAATCTTCTCTCTCCAGGAGCCAGCGACCTATGGGGCCATACCTTAGCCAGAAGGATCTGGTCCATCTGCAGAAGGAGCCACAACCTTCCCTCCATCCACAGCCTTTTCATCCACCTGCCTGGGTACAGTCCACAGCTTCACATTTGTTTTCTCTCCCCTCCTGTTCCCACAACTTGAAAAGGCCTTATCTTGTGTTCTGTTCTGAGCTTTACTGTGTTTTGAGGGCAGGGGACACCAGATTGAGGAGATCAAGACAGCCATACCCCGTGAAGACTGTTGGAGGACAAGTAAAACCCAAGATCCTTCCCAGACAAGGTATCGGGGGCGGGGCTCTGGAGAGGAGAAAGGGGAAGGAGGCCAGGAGGTCCTGTCCCAGGTACTTCTGGGACTGGGCTCAGTGGCAGGTGACAGTCATGGGCTGGGTTGTGGTGTACTGCCTCCATAGCAAGGCTGGTCTTGCACTGTGTCCCCACGGGTCCTGGCCATATCCAAGGGGGTGTTTAGGTAGCTCCCTGCTGCTGATGGTCCAGCTCTTAGAGACCTCAATCAGAAGTACGTGCTGCTCACAAAGGCCACTCCCGGGCTGGAAGTTCTTCCTGTGGCTTCCATTTCCTTCTCTGAGGGCGCTGATCTGGGGGACCTAGAGGGGGCAGAAGGCTGTCACTGGCGACCCAGGAATTGGCCCCATGACAGTGTCCCTCACCACCCCCTTCCTCAGAGTAAGGGGAATCTGAACCAAAGCCAGCCAGACGTCTGTGGTTCTGGAGGACCCCATATTCGCCTCTAGGCAACAGTGGACTAGGGATGAGGTGGAGGCCTGGGCATGCAGAGTGTGTGGCCAATGTGGGACCCAGGTCATGGTTTCAGAGCAAGCAAGCAGCTCACCGTGGGCGGGGCTCTGGCTCCAGGTCCTGGATGGTGTCTTTCAGGTCCTGGCCACGCGTCTCTGGCAGCAGGGCGCAGAGCAGGCCGGCCACGATGGGGAGGCTGCCATAGATGAGCATGGGGAGGGCAGCGTAGCACTCTCCCAGCAGGATCACTAGTGGTGTGATGATGCCCCCAAGCCGGGAGAAGGTGCCTACCAGCCCCATGCCTGTCTGCCTGGGGGAAAGCCAGGGCAAGCTGAGTAGACCTGGGCCCAACTCTGGGCCTCAGCTTCACCCCAGTCTATTTCCTTGGGAGAGCCTAGACCCCAAAGGTCAGCAGGGTCTCCAGCCTCACCCAGCCTGTCCAGTGCTCCTGCTGTCTGCTCCCAACTGCACCCCTGTTCCCTGCCTGCCACACCCCTGCTGGCCTGTCTAGTCTCAAGTTGGAGGCTGCACGTGCTGACCACCCTCCCACCCCGAGTGTTCCTTCTCTGGGGCCATTCATTCTTAGCTGTGTCCCACATTCACATCCCAGCCGCCAGGGCATGGCCTACTTGCACGTCTGTCCTCCACCATCCTGGGGACAACTTGAGGGCTTGGGCTAGATTTCCAGGTGCCCTGGACCCCGCCCAGCACTGCTGCCCCAGAGCCAGCCCTATCAAGTTGTGGCACAGGGTGAGGGCCGAGAAGGGACGGCCAAATCAGCGTCACAGCAGCAGAGGAGCAGGAGTCACACCGCAGTTCTTACCGGAGGACAGTGGGGAAGAGCTCGGCAGAGTACACGTAGGAGATGGTAAAGGCGGCCGATGTGGCCATCTTCCCCACCACAGCCAGCACGGTGACCACCAGGGGCAGATCTGGCAGAGGGCAGACAGCCTCATCACCTGGGCCCTGCCCCCAGCCCCGTCCACTGAAACTCCCTACCCCATCTGTACCCAGACCCCAGGGAAGCCTTCACTCCTGGAAGCAGAACAATGGCCACTGGTCTAGCCCTGGCAGCTGGTGGGTGAGGGGGCATGGGGGTGGGGACAGCCAGCCCTGGTACCTGCTGGGATGAAGATGATGATGATACACATAAGGCCACCCAAGACCAAGTTCCCCAGCTGGCTCCACTTGCGGCCAAACCTTTCCATCATGAAGATGCTGCAAGAGCGAGCAGGCACCTCAACAGCTCCAAAGATGAGCTGCGTCAGGTAGATGTCTAGGCCGAAGTCCCCTACTTGGAGGCTCAGCCCGAAGTACCCCACACTGTCCACAAACCTACAAGGTGATGAAGCATTCCTGTCTCTGCTGGGTGACGAGACACCACCCACAGGGAGAGCCTGCCTTGGTCAGCAGTCACAGCACGGGACACTGGCACAGCCAGGGAGAGACCCTCCCCGCCAGATAGCCACAGGCCACCCCTCTGCTGACACAGACCAGGGAGACTGCAGTCCTGTGGCTGTGTCCTCGGGCAGGGGCCCGGGCCCTGGGCGCTCACCAGACACAGAAGAGAATCAGGGTCATCTTCCGGAGCTGGGGGTGTCTGAACAGATCCAGGGCATTCCCTGAGGGGCCTGTCCTCTCTGGGACCAGCTGGGAGGAAGAAGCAGAGTGAGAGCCAGGCAGGAAGGTCCGTGTGGGTCTGATGCCCGCCTGCCTGGGCCTGCGGGAGTACCTGGCTCAGGAGCTCTGGGGAGAGTTTCCGCCTGTTGACCGAGGCTGCCTTCTGGATCAGCTGTTTCGCCTCATCCATCCTCCCCTGGGTCAGGAGCCACCGTGCAGACTCTGGCAGAACCCTGTGGGTCAGGAACAGCTATGACTTGGGGCCTGGAGTTCTAGGGAGCTTTCTGGCTTGTTCCAATGCAAACTGAACCCACACCCAGCCATGACAGGCTCTCTCTGTCTCCCAGGCTAGCCGTGACTGTCCCAGGAACGTGGGTGCTGCACTCCAACCCCCCCGTAGCACAGCTAACCCGGGGGCTGCTCCTGGCACGTCTTTTCCTCACCAGAAGTAGAAGAAGAGCAGTAAGCCAGGTGCGGTGCCGGCCATCTGGAAGAGTCTCCAGCTGCGGAAACAGTAGGCGAGTCCAGCGAGCGCTATCTGCCCAAGGGAGAAGCTGCACTGGGACAGGACCACGGCCTTCGTCTTCCACGAGGGCCCCACCCACTCTGTCACTGCGGAAACAGGGAGGTTGAGGCGGGGCTAGTCCCTGCCATTCATTCCCCGTTCCTCCCAGGTGCCACCTGGTCCGGGCCGGGCCTTGGGGCCAACGCAGGAAGCGCCGGTGTGACCGTTTCAGGCGTGGGGTACCTGACAAGACCTCCACAGGCAGTTTGGGACCGTGGCCCTCCCCGGCCCTGAGCCTCGCCCTGTGGCTGACCGCCGAGGCCCAGACACTCACGCAGGGTGACACTGCTGAAGCTGAACCCGGCGACAGCGGTAGCCACAGCAAAGCGCAGGGCTATGTAGAGCTCAAAGCTGGGCACAAAGGCGGTGGCCAGTCCGACGGCAGAGAAGAGCAGCAGCTGCACCAGGATGGTGGCCTTGCGGCCGATCCTGAGAAAACAAGGCAGATCTGCGGCAGGGTCCCTTGCAGGAGGCATCTGAGGGGAAGGCCACACGGGGGCCAGCCCTCTCCCAGGGTCTCTGTCTGAGGGAGGAGACATGGCATTTCCCAGAGCCCCATGTGAGGGTCGGGGGACAAAGGCTTTGCCCTAAAGGCCAGTGTGAGGGGCACAAGGGGGCCTGGGGCCCGTGCCGGAGCCGACAAGCGTGCTAGGCCGGAGCGGGCAGGGGGTTCTTACCGGTCACAGAGGGGCCCAAACGTGAGGCTGCCAGCAAGGAGCCCGGCCATGAACACTGACTGCGAGGTGTCCTTCAGGTGCTTCCGATCACAAACCAGGTCGAACTGAGGGGGACGGAGGCAGATGTGAGGCCAGGGGCCGCACGAGGGCAAGCTCTTCACCACTCGGCCCACTGCAAACCCTTCAGGGCAGGAGCTCCTGGCTGCCGAACTGCGTGCCCAGGCGCTCCAGGGCACTGCAGGGAACTCACCAGCGTGGCAGGGCATTTCCGGCTCCAAAGGGAAATACAAGTTGACATCTCTCTGACATGACACAAACTACTAGCTCAGGATACTTCACGCTTTCAACGTGCGACCATGCTACTTTCCTTCCAGTGACATCATATCTATGTGAATCTGACATCAGATCTATAGCAAACCGTTTTTGGTAGTTACTATTAAAAAAAAAAAAAAAGCAAATGCCGCATGAAAATCGAAGTGGAAGAGAAAGTGAGGGGGGCAGTGTTTAAGGACCGAGAGTTGTACAATGCCCGGTAGGTGCATTCATCCTATTAGTAAGTAATTCTATTTCAGAGTAAAATTAAAATATTTTTTTCTGTCAACTTATGCATTTATTCCAAAAAATGTCTACTAAGTCGTTGGGAAGTAAGTGCATGCTGAGTGAACGTAACGACTTAATGCATGGGGCCATTAGGCATTTCTTTCGGCCTGGAGATGCCATGTGAAATTATGGACACACTAAAGATGCAAATTGTGGGAACCTGCGACAGACCATTAATGGCTGCTTCCTAACAAATGGAGCCGCTTCCCCATAGCCAGGGCACCCCAGGACACACTTGGGCCTCTCCGTGTTTTCCTACCTGATTGCAAAATCCCCCTGAGGTGCCCACCATTCGCAGGCAATCAGAACCCTAAGGAGCCCTCACACATGCCTTGAGGAAGGCAATTAGGACAGAGGAACACACACACACACACACACACACACACACACACACACACACACAGAGGGAGGGAGGGAGAGAGTGACAGAACATGCAGGTGTGAGACAGAGAGAGACCCAGAGGATGCTAATCCACCCAAGACCTATAGAGAGAATCCCACAGCCTGAGAAACCAAGAGAAGATAACTGGGTCCACACCCCTCCGTACACGTCCGCTGTACGTGCACCAGACTCACTGGACTGACCCCCATCCCGCTGGGTTGTGGGCCCCTCGGGGAGCCCCTCATGCCCCTCGCGCAGAGCTCAGCTCCACACACAAGTGTTTGTTGGGGAACCGTCACGCGTGCTCTCCTCCGGCTTCCCAGCAGCAACCGCTTCGTGCTCACCCTGTGCTGGGTGCTTGCTAAACACTTTACATGCATTAACTCACAGGACTCTAATAATAATCCTTCACTTAGTGTCATCTTCCTGAGAAAGGAAAGGTTAAGCAGCTAACCCTAGGGCCCACAGCTTGATGGTACCTGGTGGCGTTGAGACATCTCTCTTGCCCTAGACAGGGAATGAATCTGAGTGAAGGCTAAGAGGATATCTGCTGAATGAATGGATAAATGAAGGAATAAACTAATGCCTACAGCTAGCTAACTAACCAATCACCATCAGTTAAATAACTTTTAGCAGGAAATGAACCAGTCCAGGAGTTACCACTGCGCTCATACTTCTGCTGTCAGTAACAGCTGTTAATGTTCAAGAACTTTCAACCGGCATCAAGTGATGAACTGACTGCCCCTGGGAATGAAGTGGTGAAGGACAGAGGACTTGAAATTGGGGCTCCAGCCAGTTCTACCCCTTTGGTTCTTGTCTAGCAGCCACAGATTGCCTTTGTAGTAAGGCGGCATTTAAAATATGAATGATCAAGGCCTGCTGTTGCCAGGCTCAGGGGTCGGAATTGAGTGGCTTTGTGTGACCTCGAGCCTGTCAGCCCACTTGTCTATGTCTTGGTTTCCCAATTACAAAATGTGAGTTAAATATACTACATAGTATCAGCAGAGAGGATGAAAGGAACTAACACCTGTAACATGGTCAGCCCAGTGCCTGTGTCACAGGATGCTCTCAACACCTGTTATCTAGGTGGCTTCTGCGCTCACAAAGCTCTCAGCTGGTGGCAGACAGCTCAGACACAAGGGGGTGAAGTGCTCTGCAGGCATGAGTGCCAAGCCAGCGAGTATTCTAAGCTGGCACCCCTGGTCAATAGCCAGCATTCACTACCTGTCTTCAGTTTATACACCCCTTATGACATTAAATCCTCATTCTAACGCTGTGATGGCTTATCATTCCCTTTGTGCAGTGTGCCCTCAATCACGCCGGGGTCACCACCTAAGACGTGGGTTTGGTCTCACCACCTGCAGAAGTCTGACCTGCTGACCCTGACTCAACATCGGATGCGCGAATGCACTCTCACACCATCAATGTTCCAAGTGGGCTAGGGATGACTGTCGGCTACTGTCAGAGGGCGAAATGCAACCGATCAACCCAGACCCTCTGTCTGTCCACACATTTATTCCCCTAAGACTTTACAACAGAGGTTCTAACTTAACACACTTGTGGATAATTAACATGGTTAAGAGAGGTTATATGAAGGATAAAGCTTTAGGTTCCCGGCCGAGAGTAAATGCTATCAACAGGTAATTGCCCTTTGATCTTCCCCGGAGAGAGCCATGGTTAGGGTGGAGACAAAGGGCTGTGGGATGGACAGACTTAACTGGGAAAGCCTCGTCCCCATTTTCCCCCTAACTTGGTGGACGGGCTGGCCGCCTTCGGCATGCCCCAATAAAACCTTTCGGCCTTCCAAAAGGTTTGAGACTTATCTCCAACTTTTCCTAAAAGTTAATATCTTTACTATTTTGCCAGCCACCCCGAGTGAAGAGCAACAGTGCAGCAGCAGAGACTGCGGCCTGGGGAGCTGCTGAGGTGTGCCCAGGCGCTCACGGTGTTGTCCTGTTGCAGGTGTTGGAGATGAAGAGGCACCAACTTGAGATGCCAGTCATCCTCCCCACCCTGGAGAGTTCTGTCTGCAGCTTGCCATGGTGGTCTACAGAATCCCACCCTCATTTCTTGGAGCACACCCCATCCTGTATCCCTCCCCTGTTCCAAAACCTTCAATGGCTCCCTTTGGTCTCTAGCAGAAAGCCCAAATTCCTTAGCACCATGCCTAAGGCCCTTGAAGAGCTAGCTGTTGCCTAGCTCCCAGCCTCTTTTGCTGTGTCAGCATTCCTAAATATGCTAGGCATTTTCACGCCTCCCGGCCCCAGAAATGGCTGTTCTCTCCACTTCCCCTTCCCTTCTATGCCTACTTCTTTGGTTCCAGGATAGATCACATGATTGTTACTATTCACTGATGGTCTTCCCACCTCCCATTCGGAGGTCCATGTAGACAGGGGAGTCACTTTTTTCTTTTTTCTTTTGAGAAAGGGTCTCCCCAGGCTGGAGTGCCGTGACATGAATGCAGCTCACCCCTAGCTCAAACAATTGTCCCACTTCAGCCTCTGGAGTCGCTGGGGCTGTAGGCATGTGCCACCATGTTCAGCTGATTGCTCTATTTTTTGTAGCGATGAGGTCTCGCTATATTGCCCAGGCTGGTCTCAAACTCCTGGGCTCCAGTGATCCTCTTGCTTCAGCCTCCCAAAGTGTTGGGATTACAGGCACGAACCACTGCACCCAGCCCATTTTTTTTTCTTTTATCAGGGATGGACACCCAGAAATGTAGGTTGAAAAGCAGAAACATATTCTGACCTTCAAGAGCACATAGCCTATAAGGAAATACACTTTTTTCTTTACAATTTAGTATTGTTTGCATTTAAGTTTAAATATGAAGTTGCCATTTACAATAAGGAAGCTTGGGATGTCAGCTCAGAGAGGGTCCTCTGAGTCAGTGGGCAAAGCCCATCCTCACAGGTGAAAACCAGAGATAGAAGAACTCACACCAAGCCGACTGCACTCGAACCGAGCTTGGGATTATCTGTGGTGCAGGGCACAAAGTGTACATTTCCCTGGGAGTCACAGTCTTTGGAAGAGTGGGAGTGAGGAGAGCATGTTAACATAGGGCAAGAGGCCCAAGGTCCAAGCACAGTGCCAGCACCGTCTAGGAGAGAGGTCCTGAGTGCCGCCACACCCAAGGGAGAGACTGAAGTCAACATTGAGTCTGAAATATTTAAAGTAAATACAAAACTGTTTCAGCAATGCAGACCATTAAGTGTGCTGTTGTGAGCAGTGATGCCACTGGTAAAGCATATCTACCGATATCCTACACAACCAATTCACATCTGAAAATGTACGGTTTCTGACAACCGTGTGGTCACAGTTGTGGTTGGCGGAGAGCCGTATACTCGGACTTTTTGATGCTTCAGGGCAGGAGGGTTGTAAGAGATCACAACTGCTGAGTATCCACAAATAGATGGATTTCTAGTCAGTTTTGCAGTGGTATCTCCGTCCTCATTCAAAAATGTGAAAGAAGAGTGAGTGCCTGAGACAGCCCACCACGTCCAAAGACCCTGTTCTTGTCTGTAGAGACCCAGATTCATCTCCGAGATGATCCCTCTGCTGTTGAGGAACTTGCCAAGAACAAACGGAAGCCTATCACTCCAAAGACTCCCGAAAAGCTGGCCCTGGACTGGAAGGCTGCTGAGGATGTGGAGTGTTCTGCACTCACAGAGAAGGCCTGAAAATGCAGTTAACGAAGCCCCCAGAACCAGAGAAGAGCCTCAGGCGGGCGCTCCTGTGAACGTCTCAATAGAGCCCTTTCAGCTCAGATTGCGTCCGCATCACACTAAAAGCAATGTGTAAGTCAAACTAAGGGTCAAAAATTAGGCTGGGAGCAGTGACTCACGCCTGTAGTCCCAGCACTTTGGGACGCCAAGGAGGGTGGATCAAAAGGTGAAGTAACTCACCTTTTGAAATACATCAAATGGTGTGAGTTCATAATCTGAAAAAAAAAAAAAAAAAGTCTCTCCTGTCAGTCATTCTCTCATATGCTTAGCATAAATGGGCAGCTTAAGAGTGCGTGACATGGTGTTCCTAGAACACAGCTGAAGACCCAGCACGCCGAAGACATGTGAGGGCGACGCTATCTATGGGACGGATGTCTGTGGAATTCTAACACCCTCTTTCAAGTTAGGGAGGTCTGCTTCATCGAGGAGCTGGGGGTGGAGAAGGGGTGGCAGGGGACTCCCCTTGTTTCTGTTTTGGTGTGAGGAATCTTCCAACAGCCAGTGTAGGCTCTCTAGTTTAACAGATGTCATGGGGAGTCTGCTGAAGACTCTTCCTCAGTGTTAGAGATACTATCGGCTTGTTTTGGTTGTGGTTCCCAGTTGCTAAAAGTGTTTAGGTAATCTTTTTACACCCCCCACAAATCCTAATTCTTACCTTGGTGTTAACCAGTGCTTTCTCACGTGATAAGTCTTTGTGTCTGCATTCTTTTCAGATGTGTCAAACAAAAACCAAAGAAGAGAGGTCCCAAACCCTTGAAAACATCCATCTAATTTCTATACCCCTGCCTGTCAACCCCGACCCACTGCAGGCACACCCACTGCTCCCAGACATCCCGCCTGCTTCCTGGGGCCAGGCCTCTCCTGTGCTATTCTCTGCCTGCAAAGGCTTTCCTCTCTCCTCTAGCAACATTTTTCTAGTATCTTGGTGCCCAGTTCACACATACCACCTCCTTCGGGAAGTTGCCTGCCCACTCCCACCCTCACCCCGCCACCATCAGGAGGAAGCAAATTCCAGGCCTTAGAATCCACCCAGCCCTTTCCTGACCACTAGGGGTCCTCCTTGTTGAAGGGGAACAAAGTACCTTTCTCCTCCGACTTCTCCCCGCACAGTTAATCCTCAGGGGGCTTTGGCTGAATACAGTTGCATGAACAGCCCAGCACGGGGTGTGAACAAGGCCTAGGGTAGGCTGTGAGCAATCAGGAAGGTTTTCTGGGCTTTGAGAATGAGCATATTTGGCCAGGTGGGCAGAGAGTTTAACACATACAAACCACACCACGTTTGGGTTGGTGAAGGCTGGGATCCACGGCTGTGATGCTGGGGTGATGATGGAGAGCCCGGTAAGGGTCAGAAGGGGCTAGGCTGGCCAGCCCCAGAGCCTGGGAGCATGCATAGGTCCCCCTAGAGCTCCAGGTGGGGTAGGGTGGGGAGAGTCGGGAGGGGACAGGTCCACAGGCTGCCAGGCTTTTGGGAGCAGTGTTATGGTCACATATAAAAAAGCAAAAGTTAGGCTTTGGTTGGCATATTGGTCTCTGAAAACCTCTAAAAATAAATACTTTTTCAGCCATAGGATGGGGCGGGGGAAGTGAATGTTTAATCCCAGATTTTCCACCATAAAGAAGATGGGAATTACGCAGATCCCCTCCAGCACCCGTGCCCCTCAGGTTTCTGGACTATCTGTGCTGCATCCTACTCCTGTGGGAATCTAGACAGCGGGAGTCTGGCACGAGAGCCCCAGCTCCATGATCAACTCACTGCCTCGCCCTAGCTAAGCCACCTCCTCATTGTGGGCCTCAACCCCACCATTTGGGAAGCAGCGGAGTGGGACCAGATGCTTTCAGAGGACCCCGCTTGCTTGGAGGCGGCCAGAGTGGGAACCTTCCTGCCTGCGTCTCTCCTAACAGAACGAAGTTAGCAAGAATGAACGCTTAGTTATCCACAGGACAATCCTCGAGTCCAGACTGTTCTCCAGCTTCCCTAGGGCAGGCTGGCAGAGAACTAGAGAGAAAAGCTGAAAGGTTTGAAGCCCAAGTCCAGCAAACAGGAAGGCGGTCAAATGGACAGGGAAAGGGATGGCATTAGAGGGCTGGGAAAAAGGGGCGTAGGCAGACATGCAGGGACAGACTGAAGGAGAGAGCTGGACAGACAGATGAGCACATGGGGTTAGAGAGAAAGGTGTAAAGACGGGAAAAGCGGAGAGGCCAGAAACTGGGTGGATAGCCAGAGAGACAAGGAAAGAGAGGGACAGACAAAAGGATGGGCGGAAATGGACAGATGGGCAGACAGACCGGACGGAGATCATGACAGACAGATGGGTCAACAGGCATGGGTGCCCATGGTCAACCACAGGGGCATAGGGGCAGATATGGAGACAGAAATAGGCAGTGACCGAGGGCGAAGACTCGCGCAGGAGCTGACAGACCCACAACAGGTAGAGAGACCGGCAAAAGGACAGCCCTACCTCATTCTTTAGGGAGGGGAGCCTGTCCTCAGGATATTCCCAGCCCAGATCACAAGGCTGCGTCTCATTGAAGCGGTGGCTGAGGATGTCCTGCAGGCTGGCATTGGCGGGGGGTGGCCGGAACATGAGGCAGGGATCCGGGCGGCCTGCATCGTCCAGGGGCACGCTCAGTGCCAGCTGCTCAGCAGCACTCAGGTTGAAAGTGTGGTTCTTCACCCAGGCCACTGCACAGTGGTGGGGCTCATCCAAGACCATAAAGACATGGGCAAAAAAGTAGAAGGGACACAGGAAGTTGGGAATACACAGCAGGATCCATAGCCATATCTGGAAGCGACCAAAGTCACCTATTTCAGCCAGGACCTGGACAAACTGAGCCATGTCTGCTGTCACCACTTCTGCAGCCTGAGTACACTAAGTAGCTCTGCAGCTTGGCTCTGTGAACTTGGTCCTCTGGGCAGTGGTGACAGCAGCTGCATTAATGCTTAATCCAGCCTTGTCCAGCCCCACCTGTCACGCCTTAGTCCCCTAGCCGTGAATTGGGAAGGGTCGAATATTATGAAAAAATAGTCCACGTGGATGAAGCTGGAAGCCGTCATCCTCAGCAAAGTAACGCAGAAACAGAAAACCAAACGCTGCATATTCTCACTCATAAGTGAGAGCTGAACAATGAGAACATATGGACACAGGGAGGGGAACATCACACGCTGGGGCCTGTCGGGAGGTGGGGGACAAGGGGAGGGAGAGCGTTCGGGCAAATACCTAATCCATGTGGAGCTTAAAACCTAAATGATGGATTGATGGGTGTAGCAAACCACCACAGCACATGTATACCTATGCAACCAACCTGCACGTTCAACCCATGTATCCCAGAGCCTAAAGTAAAAGAAAAAAAATAGTCCACTCCAGCTTGTATCATCTGAGGATGTTTTACGGACTGTGTAAAAGACAGAGGCATCACAAGAGGAACCAGGAGGACCGTGTCAGGCCCAGCACACAACAGTGAGCTTAGCCAAATGTCAGATGCCTTATAGCAGCCAGGCAGCCCGCACCACCTCTAATTGCAACATCCTAAACAATTCACACCCAACTCAAATGACAGACAGGTAGATGGGTCAACAGGCAGAGGTAAAACTGCTACGGTAAAACCCGGAGAGTAGTTGCAGCACTCAGAGGGACACAGGCTTCCCTTCTAGGGACAGCCCATACTAGGCAGTGTGGATACGCAGGAGAGCAGCGAGCACCCAGCCTGCAGATTAAATTTGCCAGCAGCCCAATATGGCCTCTCGATCCTGATGATTTTTCTCTCCTGTGAGTGTCTGGCATGTGGTGATATGCAACACCTGCCAGTCTTAGGAGGCAGCATACAGGCCAGGAGCCCCACCAAAAGCAGAGGTACACGGCCTTTTCAATACCAAAGACACCAAGAACACAGAGCAATGACAGTTGTACTTTGAGCTCCGCTTCAATCAAGAAGGAAACCATTAATGTACTGTAAAGGTGTAAACAGATGCAAGTAGCCCAGCCTCCCCGAGCCCTCTCAGTGACAATGCACACAGGACAGAGTGTGCCTCCACCGCAGCCCACACGCCCCAGGTGCATACGCTATACATGCCTAAGAAAGCATTTTCACGTTCTGCATTTTGAACGATTTTAAGGGATCAGCAGAGGAACATTGCTGAAGGGAATGCAAGGAAGCAAGGTTGTGTGGGGCAGCCCTGGCCCACAGCTGGAGGGAGCCTGTTAATCAGTCAGCCTGCAGTGCAGGTCAAGGCAGGACAGACAGTGGAGGGCAGAAGCGAGGCCAGACATGCTGCTCAGGGACATGCTTTGCTCTTTGCCCCACCCCAAGCCCTCTCATCAGGATCACCATTGTCCCCAGCTCCTTCTGTGCCAGACCAGAACACTCCTTGAGTGTTCTTATCCTCAGCATTGTCTCTATTGAGTTGCCAAGAAAACAGCTGCTACCAGTCGCCACTGGCTAGTCTGGCATTCCCCTTATGGGGAAGACCTGAGGTGGAGACATAAGCCTCGCCTCTGCCCTCATCACCTCCTCACTCCGGTCAGGAAAGGGATTTTTGTCTTGTTTGGCTCCGAGTAACCAAAGGAGCTAGAGCTGGGAGGGAGGACACGAGCTCTGCCACTGATCCGCCCTGAGAATCTGTCCCCCCCAGCTCTGGCTCTCAATTACCCATCTGGATAAAGGATGGTTTCTAAAGATTTCCACGTCTCGGTGTGTAATTCTAAAACAGAGAAAGAGTACGGTTGGCAGATTCCTGACAGGAGTGAGGCCTGACCAAAGACCCCCTGGATCATATTTCTCCAGCTGAAATACGATCCCCAAACCTTGGAACAGAGGCACTGAATGTCACTGGCCTCACGTCACCGCCACATTCCCCTAACCCTAATGTCTTGGTTTACTTCTTTCTCCCCTTGACTTTGTCCTCCCTTCCTGCTCACCGCATCCTGTAAAAACCGCCAAAGGCTCTCTGCACTGCTTCAAGGCCCATGACAAGGTATCCTCTTGGAAGCTGTCTTCCTCATCTTCCTCTTGGTACCTGCTTTCATTCAAGGCCAAAGCTAAGAGTCTTCTAACCAGCAGAGCAGTTTAAGTGGAATGAATACTCTCCCCATGTGGGAAGCATCAGGAAGACCACCGGCAAACATGGCCAGGGAGCGGAGGGAGGTGTCTGTGTGCGGGCGGAGGGACAGGGAGACATTCCTCAAAGATACCCTGCAGGGGTGGGCTAGATGGTGTCTCAAATCTCTTTCAAATTTGCAATGTAATGATTCTATTAAATAAAAACTGGTGGTAGAACTTCTGGTTTCTGGTCTGGCACAGAAGGAGCTTGGAAGTTACCACTCTTTTTTAACAAGTAAAATGTTGAACAAACTGAAAAATGAATCTCTTCTGAGATCTGTCAGAGAAGTAAAGTCACAGGGCAAAACACTGCCCACAAAGCTAGAGACACACAGGTAAATACAGAGAATTGCAATTTAGGCCAGGTGCAGTGGTTCACGCATCTAATCCCAGCACTTTGGGAGGTCGAGGCGGGTAAGATCACTTGAGGTCAGGAGCTCGAGACCAGCCTGGCCAACATAGTGAAACCCTGTCTCTACTAAAAATACAAAAATTAGCCAGGCATGGTGACACGTGCCTGTAATTCCAGCTACTTGGGCGGCCGAGGCTCAAGAGTTGTTTGAACCGGGGAGGCAGAGGTTACTGTTGAGTCAAGATCACGCCAGTGCACTGCAGCCTGGGCAACAGACTGAGGCTCCAACTCAAAAACTAAACAAACAAACAAACAAACACAGAAATAGAATTTACCTGACCAGAAATCCACAAGAAACCTCTGCAGGAACCAGCACCAGGATAAGAAAACCTGAACTTCAAATGACGAATTGCTGGAGACTCGATGAACTCCAGAGGAGGACCCCCATGTCGCTGTGGCTTTTACTTCCCAGAGCTCTACTGGGTTCACACAGTGAGTATCAGAGAAAAAGTCTCTTATGCGTCCAGCAAGGAGAGGCAAGTAACCATTTGAAATAAGCCAGAGTGTTCTGTTCTTTACCAGGCTTGCCCTCTGTCAGACCCTATCCTACCCAGGGGAAGAGAAAGACCTAACTCAAGCCTGCTCTAGCCAGCCTGTCCCACTTGAGAGGGAGTGGGAGACTGAAAAGCACTGGTAACGTTCACAGAGCAGACACACAAGCTCACTAAAAGACCGAGACCTAATCACAGGACTATAGAATGCTTTCCCTCTCCCCATGCTTTCCCACATCATCAAAGGCCTATTTACTGGAATTCCCTTTACCCAGTACACATCATGTCTAGCTTTCAACAAAAGATTACAAGGCATACTAAAAGGCAAAAACACAGTTTGAAGAGACAGAGCAGGGATCAGAACCAGACTTAAATACAGCGTGTTTTTGGGCAGTGTTTTGCCCTGTGAATTCACTTCTCTGATAGCCAGGAAGAGTTATTCATGTTGGAATTACCGGACTGGGAATTTAAAACAACTATGATTAAGATGCTCTTAGGAAAAGTCAACTTTTCCTCTTCTCTCCTACCCACACAATAATTAAAAGCAAAGACTTCTGTGACCCCAAATACGTGGAACTTCTCCCCACCAGCAAGCAATCAATCCTGTAGCAAACACCAGCTGGGATTCTTCCAATTCAATGCCAACACTATCTACCTGCAGACAGCACCAGACCCCATAGGGCTTAGTTCCCAAGGCTGGGGCTCCCACTTTCAGACACCAGTTGCAAGTCTGGGTCTCTGGAACTTCTGACTGACCCACCTCAAGCTGGAGTTCCCCTGACACTTCTTTGGGTTAATTTTGCTAGAGCAGTTCAAAGAACTCAAGGAAATGCTTATGTTTGCCAATTAATCATAAACAATATTTAAAAGGATAGAAATAAACAGCTAAATGAAGAGATACATAGGATGAGGCCTGAAAGAGTCCCAAGCACAGGAGCTTCTGTCCCCGTGGAACTGGGCTGCACTACCCTCATAGCATGTGGATTTTTTTTTTTTTGAGACAGGGTCTTGCTGTGCTGCCCAGGCTGGAGTGCAGCAGTACAATCATAGTTCATTGCAGCTTCATACTCCTGGGCTCCAACAACCCACCCTCACCTCTGCTTCCTGAGTAGCTGGGATTACAGGTGTGTTATTGCACCCAGCTTCCAGCACAAGGATGAATTCTTGTTCACCTTCCCTGTCAACCTCCATGTGTTCAGCTCACTAGAAGCCCCCAGTCCTGTCCTCTTGGGCTTTTTTATGCAGACTTTACTGAATAGGCATGATATGAATAGAAGCATGGACAACCATATCAAAATGTGATTGTACAAAAAGGGTATGATCTAAACCCAGCAAGGCCTGTCTGTTCAGATTCTTCTTGGCCTCACTGTGTAGCATTCCTTCCTCCAGGATAGAGGGCAGGTTCCCCTCTGGAATGAGGGCCTTATGACCCACAACCTAAGATTAGAGTCTTGCCTTGGGCAGAGGAAAGGAGGCTGGAGAAGGTAAGAGAGAGAGATTCTGTTTACTGTAACAAGGGTTTATGGGAGTTATGAGTCAGGAACCATGGACAAAAACATATACATACACACATGTACATATGTCACAGATGCTAAGGGCAAGATAATAAAAGGAGTTCCATAACCCACTCTATCAAATTCCTTGGGTTGACCTCATCCCTCCCTTTTAGGGTTGCAGTTTCCCCAGCTATGTGATGGCTTTAAGCACTTCTAGATAGTCTGTAGATCAATACACACACTTTACAGTTTACGTGTACTTTGGCTTCTATTCACATGAAAAATTAAAGCTGGTGGTGATTCCCTGACCCACAACCCAAAGCTCTCTGCCAGTGGCCACTAAAATAAAGCATCCGTACACCACTAAGGGCAATGTCCTCTTTATTGATTAAAAAGGAAGGAAACATGCAGTAAAATACAAAGTCCAAAAAAAGGAGGAAAAAGTTGAATATTTTACATCTTCCATAACCTAGCATACATCGTAAGGAGGAATCTCCACTTATTGGTAATCATTATTCTATCCTCCAGATTATTAAATATTATCAGCTGGCTCTAGGATTTGGTTGAAAACTTACGCAAAAACCCCAACAAATCCATTAGTCATTTAGAAAGACCCAACATTTCACAAATAGCATTGGCACATAATACTTTGTGCTATAGTTTGCCCCTACTCCAGGGACAAGGGGATCCTGGGACCTAGTGACAGAGGTGCACTCTGAACCAGCACTGCCAGAAAGGAGTACGGTCACTCACTAGGTTACGTGCTGTTCCACCTGGGCAGCGTCTGTTCATGTATCTTCTCAGTATGACTGCACAAGCCAGCAAAGGGAGTCTACCACACATCATGCCGAAGAAATAACACTGTCCTGGGACTTGGTGCCTGTCTTCTAATTCCTAGCAGGGCAAACAATGAACTGAAAAAAGACAGAAAACCTCAGCCCAATTCTACTTGTCATGCCTGCCCCACTGCAGTTCACAGGTAATGACGGGCTGGAGAAAGTGAACAGGGGGATGGGCTGCTGCTCACTCTCAGCTGGGCACCAGACCATCTCCTCGTAGAATGCTAGAACAGAGTGATACTACTCCCCCTTGGATTCATAAATAAGTAGATTATGATGGGTTTGTTTGAAATCAAAATAATAAAAAAAACAAAACACACTCTAAGGTAAGCTACTAGTCTTGTGCCAAATAGGATGCTATCTCTTTTCTATACCTCATTCCCATCTCCCCATCCTTGTTTCTCTCCACCACCACAAAAAAGAAAAAGAAAAGCTAAATAATTTTCTGGCAAGCTGGTCAATCTTCTTTTCTCCCTCCTGGCTCAGCAAGCTCCCTCCTTTTACCAAGACTGTTGAGACCTTGGACTTGGGTGTCTGATCTTACCTACTCTCCTCCCAACTCCCAAAATCCATCCCCTCTCTTTCTCCCAACGTCCATCTCTTTCCCAACATGCCTTTGCACCTAGGGCAGGTGAAGAAAGCCCATGACTAAAACTAAAGGCTCAGAATCAAACAAAAGGTGTGACAAGTTATTTGTGGGGAAGGCTTTCAGATATGTTCTGAGAGAAAAGGTAACCTTGTTCATCAGACCAACAATGCTGGAAAGGGCTTGAGCTATTCTGTAAGGGCAACTCCCCACCCTTCCCAGGGGCCCACAGCCCATCTTTGAGTCCCCCCTTCCCAGGGGCCCACAGCCCATCTTTGTGTATCTTTTTAAGGCCAGATCGAGTATCCCACTCATATATAAAACTCAGTAGGGTTACTAGCAGTTAGACAAAGACTGACTATGAAACAGTAGGAAAAAAGAAAAATCAACCTCACTGATTATTCACATATTGCATTATGAGTGCTCTTTTTTAAACCTAAAGAATAATTTATATTATTTCTGTAGAAAATCAAATGAACACTGTCTACTCATAAAACCTAAAGGTCACGGCACATGTGGTTTCACTTTCCATCTTGAGTTAGCTTCAGCACACAGAGACCTCCTCCAAAGGGTCAGTGCAGGAGGGCAGGCAGAAGGCAGGCCTCTCCGGCCCAGTGTGAGTCTCCTTTATTGCTGTAGAAATCCCAGCCTTGTATACCCATTTCCTCACGACTTGGAGGCCAGACGAACTGATTTTCATGGGAGGATTGAGTTTTTCTTCAATATTTGAAAATAAATACTTCTCCAATGATATGAATTATGATTTTCCTGTTCAAAAACCACCTCTGGCTTCACATTTACAAGCCATTACTTGATGTTGTCTGTAAAAACAATCCAAAGTTCCACTCTGAAGGATCCGGTGGCTGAAGTTCGGCTACAGTCAGATGTTTTGCACCAGCTGAAGTTAAGGCTAGCAACCCTTTCTGGAGAGAGCAATGAAGAAGGGGGTGCCTGAGAGCAGCTTCAGCAAAACGCTTAGAAACACCATGAACAAAACAAGAATACAGTTTAGGCTGCCTCCATCTGAGGCTGTGCTTTTTCCTAACAAAGGTTGCTAGAATTCACATCAGGTACAAAGAAAAAACACTAAATTAAATTCTCTGGGCTTCAGCTGAACAATCAACTTTGAATTCTACTTCAGTGGTAAAGAGATATCCCAAGATGTCCATATCCTGGCAGGTGTGGGAGAACAGGCAGGATGAGGAAGCCCAATATAGCTGCTACTTTTCCACCTGGGCCATCACTGGAGTAAGGCAAGAATGAGCTGACAGATCTCCCTCCTGGGCCTTGAAGCACATGGGCCACTTCTCAGATGGAGGAAGACAGGGGACATATGAAGTAAGTTTACTAACGGAACTCTGGGGATGCTGGCCACTGGTGATCCAACTTTACTTTCCCTGTGGGAAAAGGAGGAATGATGGCAGGAAGAACATAAAGAAAGACTTCTAAAGCTCCTAGCTGGGAGGTTTGTTGCTGGGTTCTTTGGCAGTAGTGGGTTCAGGCCAACAGAAGCAACAGAGATACGCATGTGTGGAATCTCCTTGGGCCACCTCTTCCAGGGCTGTGGTTTAGCTGATGCTGAGCTGGGCAAATCCTATTAGTTTACCATCATCAGGAATATCTGAGCCTTCGACACCAGATGCCTAAGAACCAAACAAAATGAGAAACTGTGATTATTTATAAACAAACTTGCAGGTAGCAAATAAAGCTGACATGGAATAGTGGGAGGTAAGCACTGAGCAACAGATCCCTAGGAGACTGACGAAGCTGTTTATTCCAGAAAAGAGGGCAGGGGAGCTGGGTGAACAGCCTGAGTCAGAATGGCTAATAGTTTCTCTTATGAATAGCCAAGGGTCTGGGACAGAGGTTTCCTAACATGGAGAGAGGAAGAGTCACCACTCAAAGGGAAACGTCAGCCCAGGGCACAGGGGAGGCTAAATGAATACAATCTACCACATTTTAATATTCTCATCACTCAGGGCATATAGAAGCTGGTCTGAAGAAGCCACCAGTGTGTAAAAGGTAAGATGTTTTCATAAGGAAGAAGAGATAAGTACCAGTTTGAAAGTGACAGATCGATTTGATTGAGGTTCTTCCACAATTTTCTGCAAATTTGCTGCCACTGTAATCATACAAACGGAGAGGGTGTTTGATGAATGAGAAGTCACATAAATCCAATTTCAACCATATTTTAAAAGCTTAAATGGTAGTTAAGAATATGCTCTGTACAATCAAAATGGAAGCAGACAGATGAAATAATCACTCCCCAAATGAAAGGGTCTTTTAAACTCATTTCTAAGTAGTACACACCTTGAACCACTGTCAAATTAACTTTCTTTAAAATGTTGCATTAACCTAGGATAAAGACATGCAGGTAAAAGAGGTATGATTTGCTTATTTATGGATCAGAAAGCCCAAGGACAGAAATCAAAAACGAGCCTGTGGTCTGTTTTTGTTCCCTGGCAAGCTAAGAGTGGTTTAAAAGTGACAGATACTGCACCTGGCCAGCAAGGCCTAAACTATTTGTTACCTGGTCTTTCACAGGACATCTGTGCCTACAGACATGTTCTCTCCTTCAGTAACATGGACCTGTGGCCTCACTGGGCCTTCTTTCTTCCTTCCTGCTTTTCTAGGACTAAATCTCCAATGATTTTTGCTCCACTTGGGCCACAAAAATTATGTATTTAAAATAGATCAGATATGGCCAAGCCTACTTTAACTTGTGATCTTTGCCATAATTTCTACTAGTCTCCTAAAGACCTTGGGTGTGCTCTCACTTACTATCACTGAAGATCACAAAGCAAACTCATAAGTGAAATTTTGTCTGTGTGTAAGAAACTGTCCCCATTACCTATAATTTCAGCAAAGCCAAGAACCATTTCAAGAACCATCAGATCTACTCAGTGGAATAAAAACCTGCTTTTCTATGTGCTAAGTAAATAGACAGCGACACAGGAGCACATGGGCAGTTACCTATTACTAAATCCCTTCCGTCAACCAGGCCAGCAGAAATGAGTTCCTGTGAGACACCCTCCGCTGTATCTGCAAGGACAAAGAAGACAGTGCTCTGTTTTTTTGTGCATGCTTAAAACTGTTAACTCCCAGAGCAGTGTGGGTACCAGTACTGCCAAGCTAGGCCCAAGCTAGCTGCTAGATCCACAGAACCAAAAAGACAGGAAGTCCTCCCACACACAGACTTCCTACCACTGGGATTGTCTCAAGTGAGGAATTCTCACAGATCTAGCTAGAGAGTAGACTCTGTATAAACCAGGTGGCAAATATCTGGTTTACAGAGCTCAATGTAAAGACAACTTTCTAAATGGTGTGATTTAGATGGGTTCAGGCCCAATCAGAAGAGCACTGACAGTGACGATGCAGAGGAAATTCCTGTTTTTGAGTACAATCCTGGACTGAGCTCTCAGAGCTCCGTGGCGTGATGCTGAATACTGAACATCTCCAGGGCTAAAAAACCAGAATGATTTATTCTAAAAAAATTGAGACAACAAATTGCAATCTCTTCTCTTTGGGAATCAGACTCCAAGTTTTATGCTAAAATCATTTAATTTTTCATTCTGGGGAGTTTTGTTTCGTATCTAGCTATCCCAGGTGGTACAATCTGAGCAATGGGTATAACTACTAAAAAGATGAGGACGGAATATCCCCAATTAACCTCATCTTCAACCGACTCAGTGGCACTGATTCCCAAGGGTTTGACACTGAGCTCCTCAGAGGGAACAGGAAGACTGCTGGGGAGAGAGGGTCCACACATTCACAAAGACGACCAGCAATTTAAATTAATTCCTGAAAATGTGACATTGCCTGGCTTTAAAAAAGGAAAACAGATACACCTCTGTACACCTGCATCTGTTCTTTCCGTGGTTAGTTGCTCACAATAGTGAGACAGCAAGAAGAATAAGCATGATACACAGAACAGATATTTGCTGGCGACTCCCCAAATTAGAACACCGAGTAATAAAGGCAAGAAAGAAAACACGCTGTGTTCAAGGTGAAGTTCAACAGCCAGAAACAGTATATGACAGGGCTCAGCTTCTGTCAGAGAGAGGGGATTGCAGGCCTTGTTTCTTTACCATCCTGGAGGACTACGTATAAAGCAAGAACTTTGGACTCTGACAGACCTGGTTTGAATGCCGCCTATACCCCTTTCCAGCTGTGTGACTTTGAACAAGTTACTTTGTCTCTCTAAGCCTTGATTTCATCATCAATAATATGAGGATAATAATTTTTCTGTAGTAGGCTGCTATGAGAATTTAATGAGATAACGCTTAAGACAATGCCTGGCCTATAGCAAGCTGTGAAGAGCTGTTATATATTTATTACTGTCTGTGTTACTATACAAGGTTTTCTAAATGTGTTTAGTGGTCAACGAACTGCATTTTTATCTTACTCATATACTCTCCAAAACCAGGAAAAATTGTATTATCCTTTAAAAGCAAAACTTCACAAAGGACAGAAACTTCACAACACATTTCATCACATCTCAAATTAGAAGCGATTTTGTTTTCAATCCGTTTGATGCCTCACCTCTTCCAGGAGTAAATTCAAATCGAATATCATTTAGTTCTTTTTTGGAATTCCTATGAAAAAAGCAGAATGCATAAAATGAGAATTTCCAAATTTATGCAAAGAGAGTCTGCCAACATATATTAAGAAAGCTGTGCCTCAAGAAAGACTGCTTTGTTCCCATAGATCACATGATTTATTCAGGTATGTCCACACTGCAGAGCTCAGAGCAAAACCAATTCAGAATGACCATCTACTTGTCCTACAACCCTTTGAATCTATGTCCCTTACTGATCAATATAAAAATTTCATGCCTTTGAGAAGATTATAGGCCCACTCCCATCCTTATTCCTACTAAGAGGAGCATATAAAACTAAGAGGAAAATATGTATGAGCAAAGGGAGGTGTGAGTAAAATGATACAGGATGCCGTTTTCATCCTAATCCCCACTCCCACATGCTCACAATCCGCTGCCTACCACTGGTGATCAGTCTTGGCAGACTCATAAGATGAAATACATGATACTCCCTTAAATTCCATAGGAATTCAAAGAATGCACGAGAGAGGGGGATAATAAGGAAAAATTTTAGAGGTAGTTTTTAGATAGGGCTTAATGCATAGGCAGGATTTGGGTAGGCAGAGAAAATAGGGAAAGGAATTGGGTCCATACTGGTAGCAGAGTTAATGCATGACTCCAGAAATTCAAACATGACTGGTGAGGTACAGTTACAGTGATGACCCCACCACGTACTGAGATTAAACAGGATCCCTGGAGGTTATGGTTAAAGATAGAAATTAGAACATTATATCTAAGGGCAGATATGCCTGCTCACTTAGGACTCAAATCTATTTTATATAAACAATGGAGAGAGTTTACTTCTATTTGATGAATAACATACTTGAGGGTGTTACTGAAATTGTGCTTAAAACAGAACTACCCATCTCAAATATTAGCTGCCCTGAATGATTTTCCCATGCATTGCATTCTCTCTATACAGATACATATAAACTTATACTTCTGCATGTATATACTATCTGAAATTTGCTTTTAGCTGTGTTAGTATAGTTCAAATCAACTTCCAACCTAGACTTGATTATCAAGGGAGTCATTTAATTTTCTCTTTTCTAGGTATCCATCTTTCCACAGTACCGAAGAGTGCTATACCTAGTCTGTGCTTAATACATAATTATTCAATCTGTTCTTTCTGAAAGTGCAATAAAATTCAGATTGAAATGTTCAGCGTAAGTTTAGTGATTTAACTGGCACGCCAGGCACAAATATCTTCAGAGATAAAAACATGGTAAATTAGATTAAATGTATTCCTTATCATCACTTCTGGCCACTTAACTTCAGAGTCTTTACCAATAAGAGTAAGAATCCAGCCTCCTACTTCCATAACAATCTTTACAACTACTCTCAAGAAAGCTAAGTACACATCACTTACAAGTATCTTCTCCACCTTGTCAAACAGAATTTTGTCTTTTATTTTACAAATAGAATTTTTGTACTGTCTATTAAGATGTCACAATAATCTTCTTAAAGAGACAAGTGGTACTCTTTATGTAGAATTAAAACAGCATGAGGTTGTCAAGACATCCTAGTAATGCAGAATTATTTGAGATGAGACCAGGTATACTGAGTAGGCTTCTGTAAAGGAAAGGTAACCAAATCTGCTTTGTTCACATTTGTGGCATAAATGCATTGCTCCTAGTGGCAAGGGGCAATGATGTTCTCCTTACCACATTCTCCAAAGAGCTCTTGCTGCCTGTATTTCCAATTATGACCTTACTGAAAGATGACTAGGAATTCATACGTACAAGGGTAATGAGTTAATAGCAATTCAGTGGAACTCTTTTTTTAAATGTTACTATAGTTTTAAAAGGTCTAAGTTGTCTCAAGTGACACTTTAATTTTTTTTTTTTTCCAAATGCATTTATGAGTAGAAAGAGACCTAACTAGAGCAATACAACAGCCACAGCTATTCTGACAAAAAAGCTCTGGAATTTGAATCCAGCTACTGGTGGTGGGGGGAGGGCAGTTAAAATGAACAGATTGCTACCTATGGTACTTCCTGTTGACCAATCTGTCAGGCCCTCTCTATAGGTTCCCACCAAGAACCACCAATTTAGAGTACTTGCGGCAAAACAGAAACAGAGTACGAAAACATTTAGAGGTTTCCTTTTAATCTTCTAAAAACAAGGCATTTTTTGACCTGTCACAATAAAAACGTCCTCCCCAGGGCTGGATGTGGTGGCTTACGCCTGTAATCCCAGCACTTTGGGAGGCAGAAGTGGGCAGATCACGATGTCAGGAGTTCGAGGCCAGTCTAGCAAACATAGTGAAACCTGGTCTCAACTAAAAATACAAAAAATTAGCCAGGTGTGGTGGTATGTGCCTGTAATTCCAGCTACTCGGGAGGCTGAGGCAGAAGAATCACATGAACCCGGGAGGTGGAGGTTGCAGTGATCCGAGATTGCACCACTGCACTCCAGCCAGGGCAACACTGTGAGGCTCCGTCTCAAAAAAAAAAAAGTCCTCCCCTTCTTGGGTTAGTTGATCTCACAGTCCATGGTGCTTATATGGTCACAATTATAGGACTGATGTTCAGATAAGCCTGTTAGTGCTGCTTCCCTAAAAGCTGTTCCTCAATTACGGACCACACTTCCTAACCACACTAGCTACACTGCAAATGCACAAGCTCATCACCAGTTAGCATAGAAACAACGAAGAAACACGAGCATCAGTTAGTCATAACACCGGCTAACATCCTGGTCCTCACACTGTTGCTATCATTTCTGAGGAATATAATACACCACCAAGCAAACAGGGCTTGATGCTAGAGGACATGCAATCCAATTCCATCCAATTACTCTCAGGCACAGACTATTAGAGCACATGCAGAATATTCAGAAAACAAAACAAAACGTCTACTTACCTTAATCTTAGTACCAGACTGATTGGGATCTTGGTTTCTTGTGAACCTGATCCTGAAGACAAAGCCTAAAAAGCATTCAAAGGTATCAAGTCATTGCCTGAAACATTAAGTGGGGAAGTGACTAATGGTCACTGGCAGAGGAATCATCTACTTGGCAGCAATTTTCTTCATCTCCAGCTGAGGTCATACTAATCCCAAGGACATTCCCTGCTGGAGGAGGACATGCACTCCAAGGCAGCAACAAAAGCATTTACATTTTATATTTCTGAAACCCCTGTTCCCTGCTACAAGAGTGAAAAACACGAAGCTAGGTTTCTCATTGTTTAAAAATCTGCCAGAGCACCATATGGCAATACAAAAGGTGGAGCCTGAACCAGCTGCCCTTCAGGAATCCCATCCAACCCATACATAGGTTCCAATCTTTTTATGGCTAAACTAATCCTCTCTGAAAATTGTATAGCTATCACTTGCTTATGAGAGGGCATGCATTCAATTTAAGTTGTTTATAAAATGAATCTAATTTTTCCATCAGTTTTCTTAAGACAACTGTATCTTTTCCCATATGCGGGGCAGAAGTGGAAAGCTTGAGGGATGAAAAAGTTAAGCGAAGTAAGTGCCACGACTAATTGGAAATGCTCAAAGCCGTGATCTCCAAAGGTAGAACACAAGATGATCTACTGGGGTGCAAAAGAGAAAAAAAATCAGACCTTTAATTTCTATTTCTTTTCATCTAAAATGTTAGACAAAAAAATGGAACTTCTAATATTTAATAAATGAATGGACACTCAAAGTTCTACTTTAACCATGTAGGGTAAGGCCACATGTTGCATGCAGTATCTGAGGTTTCTTAAAGAGAGCACAGGAGTTACACAGCATGCAGGAGCTCACTGGGGGGCCTCCAATCACTTGGCTGCTCTCAAAGGAATATAATTTAATAAAGTTTGTGTGCACCTGACAAATGAGTTCACAGATTATAATATGAAGACTTAACAAAATCAACCCTCACAAAATTGACAAATAACTTAAAAAGAGAAAAACCATGGATAGCAAAGAGTATTAATAAAAATATAAGCCTGAGTGAACAACAAAAACGGTACAGCCATCCGATTCTCCTAGTCTCTGTTGAACTCCATGAGCTGCATTCTGAAACAGTAAATGTAATAATTATCTGATACAAAGCTGACAAGAAATTAGCCCCAAATTTTTGATGTGTGGAATATTTCCATCATTAACTTATTCTGTTGCTTAAAAACCTGCATGCGATCCTTGTAAAATTATCTTTCCTGTACATGCTTAAAAATGTGAAGAGAGAATTTCTAACTTGTTTCAAAATCTACCAAGACATTAACCTGATTACATTAGGTTGTGTTCCACACTAATATCTGCTCTTTTTAGCTACCCAAAAGAATGACCATTAAAGCATATCCCCGGCTTCACCTGAGCTGGTTTTGCTGGCTCTGCGGCGGGTGGGACAGAGACTTGAGTTGGCTGTGTAGGCATCTGCCCAGCTGGCTGAGGTAGATGAGCAGAGATCTGCTCTGGAACTTGGAGCAAAGTACCCACAGGATCAGTTGTTGGAAACAGCTATAACAAAAACACACATACAGTGCTGCTTAAGTTGTGTGGAAAGGGAAGCAGGTCGCTGACAGCAAGTGCAGCCTTTCAGGGTGATATTTTCAAAGTAGTTTTTGGGCAGTGTACAGTTTTTGTGTCTACTCTGAATATATCTATTCCAAATGGAAGTCAAGTACTTCTAGGCTTTTAAACTTTTAACAACTCTGTGAGGTATAATTTATATTCCTCTAAATTTATCCACTGTAAGTATACAACTTGGCGATTTTTGCACAATATATAGAATTGTGCAACCATCACCACAATCCAGTTTTAGAACACTTTCATCACCCCCAAAAAGCCCTCTCGTGCCTTCCTGCTTCCACACCCTGCTATAGGCAACCACTGATCTACTTTCCATAAATTTGCTTTTCTGGATATTACATGTAAGTGGAATCATATAATATGTAGTCTTGTGTCTGTCTTCTTTCACTTTGCATTATGTTTATTTTTAACCACATCTATTCCATTCCTTTGTACAGAAAAACTGCAGGTCCAAAATACAGATTTAAGTATGTAGTACAAAATTACAGAAGTTGTATTTTTCCATGGATGGGGACTTCGTATTTCTTACAAAGACAATCAACAAATAATTCCTTAACATATCTGAAATGCATTTTAAAAATGAATATGATGCTTTAAAACTAAAAAAGATATTTTATATATGTCATTTTGTATGTCTGAAATATTTCATAAATTTTAATTATGTAGTTTGGGAGAAATGACTGATACTGAGTATAAAAACAAGCTAAACGTATTCAAAATTATGCAGTTAGTGGGGGAAAAAATGATGCAATGTCCAAAATGTAAAGTTGAAAGAGAAAAAAATTCAAAGAGTAATAACAGAGGCCTGATAGAGGTGATATTATATAAGCAAAATCAAGGTGACAAAAAATAAAATTTTGTGATCATTTAACTTCATACATAAAAATTCATAAGTTGCTCATTGGTTTTAGATTTTTATAGAAAAGTAGGCCTTTAAGAGGACTTTTGAAAATGTATAAATACTATTTCAAAAGACTATTTAGCTTCCAAATTGTTTGTACTTATATTTATCTAAAGTAAAGACAGAAAGGATATATTTTTAAAAGTAATGAGAGGATGCACAGAAATTGGAACCCTTATTGATAAGCACATAAAATGGTGCAGCCTCTATGGAAAACAGTATAATGGTCCCTCAAAAATTACAAATAGAATTACCATATAACCCAGCAATTCCACTTCTAGGTATACACCCCAAAGAATTGAAAGCAGGGTCTCAAAGAGTTGTACACCTATGTTGACAATGGCATGACTGACAACAGCTAAAAGGTAGAAGCAAACCAAGTGTCCCCCGACAGATGAATAAATTGTAGTGTGTGTACACACACATACACTCGCACACACACAGAATGGAATATCATTGACCCTTAAAAAGTAAGCACATTCTGACATATGCTACAACACTCATAAACCCTGAGAACATTATGCTGAGGGAAATAGGCTGGTCACAAAAGGATAACTACCGTGTAATTCCACTTATATGAGGTACCTAGAGTAGGCAAATTCGTAGAAAACAGAATGGTGGTTGCCAGCAACTGGGGAGAATGCAGTTACTGTTTCATAGCCACAGAGTTCTAGTTTGGGAAGATAAAATAGTTCTGAAGGTGGATGCTGGCTCCCGTACAGTGTGAATATACTTAATACCACCAAACTATTTACTTGAAAATGATTAGGATGGTAAATTTTACATTATGTGAATTTCATCACAAATTTAAAAACTAAGTAATGAGCATGAGAATGTGAGGAGTTCATGTGGAGATGATATTTAGGCAAAGGAACAAGACTGAAAAACTAGATAATCTGTAAAATAGCCTCTCATTCAATTTCTGAGAAATCAAGTATTAGTTAACATAGGTTAAATTAGAAGTAAATAATCCTGAGGTGTCAGTGGATTAAAACAATAAAAGTTGTTTCTTGGACACACTTCAAGTCTATCTCTCGCCAGCAGGGGCTAATAAGCTCCATAATCATCCTCACTCAGGGATGCAGGTCGTGGTAGCAGGAATAAGGAGGCACAGAGAATCACGAGCGGTTCTCACTTCTGTTAACATGTCACTGGCCAGAGTAACTGACATGGCCATATGTAACTTCAAGAGTCAGGAAAAGGCAATTCCCTTACCAAGAAGAGGAGCCACACATATAAGTAAACGGCAGTTCTAATATAAGTTGACTGATATCAGTCTGTTAATATGTGAAGGAAGAGTATTTGTTTTTACTCTTAAATAATATAGTTCTATGTAAACAAATAAGGTACACAGCCATATATACAAATGTACTTTCTATACAAAAGAAATGAAAAAAAGGTTACTTTTTAGCAAAGAGACAAGAATAGAATTGGTTTAAGAGCAAGAGATGTGTTTAAACCAAATACTGAGCTCAGAATGAAGATGCTGCCGGAAGTAAGACTATATGACAGAACAGATCATAGAAATGATTGTTTTCCTCTGGTAATGAGAATAAGAAAAATCAGCCCAACAAGAATTTGTTTAACAGGATTTCCTATCACATTGATGCAGTAACTACAGAAAATAGAATTTATTTCATAAGAGAAGAGGCTGAAAAAGTTCAAAAAGGACAGGTGGCATATGACAAATTCCCACACAAATTAATGCAAAAACACTTCTTTTTGGCAGGGCACGGTGGCATATTCCAGCACTTTGGAAGGCCAAGGCAGGGGACTGCCTGAGCCCAGAAGCTTGAGACCAGCCTGGGCAACATGGTGAGATCCCATTTCTACAAAAAATACAAAAACTAGTCAGGCATGGTGGTGTGTGCCTGTGGTTCCGGCTACCCAGGAGGCTGAGGCGAGAGGATCACTTGAGCCCTGGGAGGTCTGTCACTCCAGCCTGGGAGACAGAGTGAGGCCCTGTCTGTAAATAAACAAACAAATAAACAAATAACTTTTCACTTCAAGCAGCCCAAGATAAAAAAAAAAAAAAAAAATTCATAAAATCAAGGATACAAGGAAGAACATTCTGAGTTCTTAGGCCAACTTTTAAAATTTGATTGGTATAAAGTTGCATTCCCATTTAAGCACACACATACGCAAAAAAAAGTACTTAAAATTGAAACCAAAACAAAAGTACATATACTTGAACAAGAATTCAAAAATCACAATTTCTTACCTCAGAATTTGATATTGATTCTTTCACTCGGGGAGACTAAAAGAAATACAAAGAGGATGCTTGTTAACTCACAACTCAGGTTACCTGTAGTCAGTCCCTAACTGCAAGTGATGTTAAATGCAAGTCAACTCCATTTAATTCTGATCCATATATTAACTCACCAGCAACTCTACCAAAAGTTTTCTGGAAAAAATAACTGTCATGATAATACTGTATTTGTTTGTCCAGGGAGCCTGTAACAAACACATCAATGTACTTACCATAATTTAAAATTCCATATTTTAAAATTGTGAGTTTTTAAGCAAACAAAATGGGACTGTCACATTCTTCAAAGTAAAATTCTTTCTACTAATGGTGAATATATTATGTGTAAAAGATCCCAGACAAAGCCTAAACTTTTAAGCTAATAATCCAACACATTCTCAGAGCAGAGTAATTCTGCCTGGGCTTTAATGGAGAAAACTCTTGAGCCAAAATTGATCTGAATGCTGCATGTCAAGAGTCTTCTACCCTTACTCTTAGTGTTGGATACTTGGGAATCTTGTGTGTGAAGAAACATGGGTGGTCCAAAAATAAAGCATGGACCACCAGTAAAAAAAAAAAAAAAAAAGGAGTGAAAATAAACTGATACATTAATACAAATTGAGGTGAGGTCTCAAATATCTGGTGTAACCACATTTATTAGGAAATTACCAATTATAATCTGTCATATGAAAATTTAAGCTGTTTATCTGGTAAATCATAAAAGTTAGCAGTAATTCTGGATATAGGCACTGTAGTTTACCAAAAAACTTACCTCTAAACACATAGCAAGTTATGGTAAATTCTGCCAATGATGGATTTAGTCACAATATGTAAAAGATAAATTTATGTTTTTTCAAAAAAAAACTTTTATCACCATTTCATTAAGGAGTATCAAAGTTCAGGTAATAGCTAATATAGCACACCAAGTAAGTGGCCAATCTAAAACCTTAAAAAAAAAAAAAAAAAACTATGTAAATACTGAATTCATCCAGAGTACAAGAAAAAAAACTTTGTAAATAATTTCAAACTTACAGAAAAGGTGCTAGAATAATAATACAAGAACATAAGTACACCCTTTACCCTAGTTCATCTATTATTAACCTTTTTCCCCTCATCTGCTTTATCATTTGGGTGCTCACTTTGTCTTTCTTTCTAAATATATTTTTCCTATACCATTTGAGAATACGTTGCATTTATCATGGCTGTTTACCACTTAATAATCAGAGTGTACATTTCCTAAGAACAAGATGTTTTCTTATATAACTTCACACTACAGTTCTCAATAAATTTAACAGTGATATAATTTTATCTGATTTATAGTGTAAATGTCAACTGACCCTAATGTCCTTTGTAGCCTTTAGTTTTTCTTCCAGTATAGGACGCAGTCTAGGATCATGTATTATAGTTTTCATGTTTCTTAAATTTTTAAAATCTGGAACATCAACATTTTTGGAGAATTCACTCTCTCCACTCCCACCACATACTTTAATATATGTCCCTCACTTGGGATTTCTCTGATATTTCCTTATTATTAAATTTACATGAATTCCCACTTGGAATTCTACAAACTGACGTGTCCTTCTTACTGTATCACATGTTCATTTGCCCCTTGTTGGTGATGTTAATTTTAATCTCCTTGTCAAGGAATTTTCCTACTTCTCCAGTATATAAAAAAAACAACAACTATTTCTTCCCTTGCAATGAATAGGTAGTATGTGGGGACACACTTTAAGACCTTGAAAACATTCTGCTTATCAAAACTTCCCCCTATATTTAGCTTCATTGATGATTCCTGCCTAATCTTGTCTTTATGATGATTATTTTAAAATGATGACTTTCCATTTCTAACCCTCATCCGTATTTACTGGTCAGCACTTGGCCGTCTATTGTAATGAAGAACCATTCCTTTTCCCCCATTTTTTTATATTTCTATTTGTTATTGATATGGACTCATAGATACCTATTTTCTAAATTATTTATAATTAATTATTGCACTTTATTTCGATGGTTAAATTGTCTCAGATTTCAACAGTAGGACTAACTTCAAGCTGGCACTTGTGTCCTTATGAGTTTTTTTTGAAGTATCTTTTCCTTCCAGCAAAAGAAGATAATATTCAAGATTCCTCTTATATTTTCCCTGCTCAAGCCCTGGAATCAATAATTTCTCAAAGGAGCCCTGGTTTCCTTTAGTAGGGAATGGTATTACAGGCCATTATCTGGGTATAAGCCATGTCATTATTGGGGTTTCTTTGCTTCCAGGCCCTTCAGTAGACAAAGGTGAGAAATATATGAAAGTGTAAACACACATATATACATACATGCACACACATTCATTCACACACATACTTTACAAAGCTTGAATTCTGACCAATGCCTCCAATTCAAATTCATCCCCACAGGATTCTTTCTCACCTTGCCCTGCTCCATACTTACATATAATCTTCTTCTATAGTGAGAATCCTGGTTCCCAAGAACAGAGACATTTACTCATTTGCTCAATCCTGCAAGAGTTTCTGAACTGCTGTGCATATATAACTATGAAAAATAATCCTAATAAAAGGAGTTTAAGGCTTAAGTTTTCTCTTTCCTCCATCAACTCCACCTGACTGAGCACACACAGTCAAATGCTATATCACAGGTTGCTTGAATTCTTTCTTTTTATATTCCCCTTTAGTACATTCACTTAAAATAGAACTGCAGGCTTCCACTGCAGGCCATGATGAATAAACAAGGACCATATTTATCCTTCCACCTGAAACAACCCCACCTCTGCAAAAAAAGACAAAATATATGAAGCAAGAATTTTCAAGACATTCGAAATTTGTCAAACAGTGATCCATGAAAGACATGGAAAAAAAAGTGGTGGGCCTTGTCCATGTATACTGCTTTGAAAGCTTCCAAGCTGTGGCACAAGGAGATGAAGCCCAGATGAAATCCAAGGAACTGCCTGAGTTGAGGAAACAGAGGTAAGAGTCTGGGATACTAAGGCACATTAAGTTAATAAAACAGTAAAAGGAAGGAGAAAGCTACAAAGAGTGAACCCTAGAGAGTTGCAGAGGGTCACTTGTGAATGTTTGACAGAATACTTATCAATGAATGCACGTGAGGAAATGCCTGAGAAGGGTGGGGGAGGACACCAAAAAAGATGAGAGGGAACAGTGCATAGCACTCACACACAGCCAGCAACAATGCCTATTTCCACCAGTCCGACTGGAAAAACTGGTAACTCACAGGGGATTGGGTAGTGTTCTTAAAAAGGTCTTGTCTCAGTAGTGGGGAATAAATAGCTGTAGGCCAAACATTACTCCAGATCCAGCCAACAAATCATAAAAGCAAGATCTAAAAGCATTAAACTATTTCCAACTAACTTTAATATATACCAGAACAAGGCTCAAGAAGATTTATAGAAATACAAAATTGTCAGCAAGCAATAACATGGAAATTACAATGTCTGGCATCTAATCAGATTACTAGATATAGAGAGGCAGGAAAACACTTCTCAAACCATAAGGAAGAGAACAATTAACCAAACAAAACCAATTCAGAATTGACATGGATGTTAGAATTAGCAGAGAAGAATATTAAAATAGTTACCATAATTGTAATACATATCTCCAAAAAGTTAAGTAGAGACATAGAAGATGGGGGAAAATAATTAAACTTCTACCCTGAACGCGCCCGATCTCGTCTGATCTCGGAAGCAAAGCAGGGTCGGGCCTGGTTGGTACTTGCATGGGAGACCGCCTGGGAATACCAGGTGCCGTAGGTTTTAAAAAAAAAAAAAAAAAATTAAACTTCTAGACTACTACAATGCCAGAGATGAAAGAGACTGGACAGGATTAGAAGATTAGATATTGCAGAACTTGAAAGCTAGCATAGAAACTACACAAAAGTGGCAGAAAAAAAAGAATTTTAAAAAACTTAAGAGAAACAGTGAGCTGTGACTTTGAGCTGCCTATTATATATGTTACTGAAGGACAGAAAAAAATGTTAAGATATAATGGCTGAAAAATTTCCAAAATTGATAAAAACCTATAAACCCGCAGATGCAAGAAACTCAACAAACCTTAAGCGCATGCGCGCGCGCACACACACATACACACACACACACACACAAAAGATGAAAAACACACCTAGGCATATCATAATCAAATTTTCCAAAAACATTTGTAAAGAGGAAATATTAAAATTAGCCAGGGAAAAAAGGCATTTACTTATAAAAGGAACAAGAATAAGAATGTCATAAAAATTTCTCAGTGGAAAGATGCAAGCAAGAAGATAGTGAAGAAACATCTTTAAAATGCTGAAAGAAAAAGCCTGTCAACCTGGAACTGTATATCCTGCAAACATACCTTCTTAAAACAAAGATAGACATTTTCAGACATAAGACCTTAAAGAAATCATCACTAACAGACTTACAACACAAAAAAATATTAAGGAATGTTTTTCAGGCATAAGGGAAATAATATAAAGATGGAAATCTGGACCTATAGAAGAGCATTATGAAAACGGGCAGAATTTTGTCAAAGCCATTCTCAGAATCTAAGAAAATAAAAATGATTTTTCTCCTTAAATGATTAACATTAAATCTTATAATGATTAGTATTATGAGATTTCTTAATACTGAACCATCATTGCACCCCACCCCATTTGCTCATGGTGTATTCTTTTCTTAATATAGTTCAATTTAGTTTTAAAAGATTCATGTTCTTAAAAAGATGATCTCAAAAAATGGCTATAAAGATAACATGAGAAATACTGGACAGAAAACTACTTACTCTGTGGCCAAAGTATATGTTTCTGTGTTGTTTAGATATCAATGTATTAGATTATAAGAAAGCTACTATAAACTATTTCAAAATTACCAAATTTCTCTATAGATAGCTAGAGAGTAATAATTTTATACTGAAAAGCTATAATGTATCTCTCCAAATATTTGTTAGTCAGAAGAAAAACAGCATCATCATCCCTTTCACAGGAACCTAGAGCTACAGAATTCATGTAGCTCTAGCTTCCTCTGGTAGCTTTAATAGAACAATACACGAGAGTATCAATTCAGAGAGGAGTCACATGAAAAAGAAAGAAAGAAAGGATGCCATAGTCTCACATTTATAAAGAAAACATTAAACTCACAATTGTATGTAAACAAATGTTTGCATTTGTTATCTTCTAAACAGTGTTTCCAAGCTTAGCACTTAATAGATTTTTGCCAACTTCCATTGGCAAGGCCTCTACAAACTTAGCTCTGCAAAAGGACTAGACTCAAAGACCTCATTGGATAAACAAGGTCAACAAATATTTAATGTTGATCAGCAGAGAGTTGTAAGTGCTTTCAACAAAGCAGATCCTAAAAGCAGGAAGAGATATGCCAGTATATTCACTATTCATCCCAGAAAAATAGTCCTAAGTAGTCAAAGGTGTAACACCCTCAAACATTTATATTTCCTTATAAAAACACTTCCAAGTCTTAGGAATTAGTCCTGCCAATCCACTTGAGGAAGTGCTTTTAGGCAAGAGTGATGAAATGAACCAAAAGGAAGACTCTTCTCTTCACTGTTTTTAGCAAACACACACACACACACACGCACACACACGCACACACAGGTGCACGTGCCATATATAGTTAATATATCTAGGATGTATCAACTGAGTAAGAGATAAACTGTTTTTCCTGAGGTAGGATAACAGACTTCAGGGGAAAAGCTTCCATTGCTGGGCCTTCAGGTTCACTAACCTTTTCTTCTGCAATGTCTAATTGGCCACTAATCCTATCCAGTGTATTCTGCATCTCAGACATTTGCAGCTTTCGTCTCTAGATTTGGGTCATTTTTATATACTCTAAATATTATCATATTCACGCAGATGTCCAAGGCCAACTTTCCATGCAGAATTAACTGGGCTCCTATTATTAAGTTGTTCAAAAAAATCCTGTCACACTTGTGTTCTTTCTATTTTAGCTGGTTAAACTGAACAAGAACCACACACAGTTCTAGCTAAAGTACACAGTTTAATAAAATTTACCCTGAGTTGTGAAATTGCTGCCTTCCCTTCCTCACTTTCTTCATCAAATTCATCATCACTCCACTCCCAGCCTCCATCCTCTGTCTTATGAAGACGGCCACTGGAACCTGGTACTCTCCGAACCTGCTCATTAGAAAGAGAAGCAGATTATGGTAGTGTTCATATTTACTAAGTAGAAAACTCCGTATTTCTCTCTTTTCCTGTCACTTCAATCCATTAAGTAGATAATCATTTTCCCCATAAATGTTCCCATACAAATTCATATCCTCCAACCATCACTTGCTCTGTTGACAATCTCTACCACCTGTCTGTAGTAACAAGCACTGTACTTCTATACCTGAACCCAAACAACATCAAAATCCTATGTAAAATCACAGGTAAAATCTGATTTTTCATGTCCTGAGACATTTAAGGGAAAAAAAGAGGTTTTGGGTGCTCAAAATGAATAAACACAAGATTTAAAATCTGTTATTTTTTATTTTTAAGTCAAAATTATGCTTGCATATAATTTCCAAAGTACTAGAGCTGTGCATGTTTTGTTAAGAAAAGCAGCAACCTTCTAACCTTCATCTTCATCTCCAACGGCAACCACTTTCAACTCATTTTACTTATCCTTCTGGATATTCATCTCTTGAATACGTGTTCCTATCGTTGATTTTCTGGTTTTAGGAATTATCTGTGGGACTTCCCACAATAGAAGATGAAACTTTAACTCTGTTATGAACTCTCTATTCTTTTCTCAAGATAGACTATAATTTTGGTTAGATCAATATTCAGTGTTTACAGAACATGACTTTATATATATATCATATTCAGAGCTGAGCCTTATTGTATATTACCATTTCTATTTCCCCTGTAGTTAGTATTTATTCTGTCTCAGCTATTTAAATCTCCTTTCACCACATTCAAATGGGTATTCCTATCAGTATCATCTTCTTGAAGAAGACTCTCACCAGAACCTCCTGATATCCTAGACTGGCTTCACAGCACGTCTGCTATTTCAGATCAAACTCTACCATCATCCAGAGGATTGTATGTTCTGGATCACATGACTTCTGTTTTTACTTTAAGCACCATCTCCATTATTAGCATTTATTAAAGCCATGCATTTCTGAACTTATCTTGATTCCACCTTCATACTTCATTCGTTGTTTGGTTAAAAAAGAAAAGGCTGCATCAGTAAGCACTTTCTTTCATAAATTGAAGATAACTGCATCATTGTATCTGGCTTCCAGAAGTGCTACTGAGGTAATCATGACTCCTGATACTGTCTGTGACATTTCCCCCACTCCCTGGAAGACAACAGATTATTCTTTTCGCTCTAGTATTCTGACCTATCATGGTAATGTGTGTTAGCATTACTCTATTTTTATTCATTGTGCTGAATGCTCAAGACTCTTTCAATCTGGAAATTCATGACCATCCAGTTTTGGACATTTTTCTTGAATTATTTTGTCAATGATTTACTTTCTTCTGTTTTTCTCAGTTTTCCTTTTCTGGAACTCCCTTTACTTAAATGCTGAACCTTCTCAAGTGGTTCTCTAATATTCTTTTTTTTAATTTTTCCTACATTTGGATCTTTTGAATTCTCCTTTTTGGGAAATTTCCTCAACCTTTCTATTGAATTTTTCATTTCTCCTATGTTTTCAATTTCCAAAAGCTTTTTGTTGGTAATGGTCCTGGTTCTCTGAAAACTTCCTTATAATTCATACAACATACAACTGACTCACTGAAAGTACACAATTCAATGATTTTTAGTGTATTCAGAGTTGTGCAACCATCACTACCATAAAATTTAGGACATTTTTATCACCCCTCACAAAACATGCCATATTCTTTGGCAATAAGTGCCCATTTCTCTCCAAAGCCACCAGTCCTAAGTTGTCACTAATCTACTTTCTGTCTCTATACATTTGTCTATTCTCAACATTTCACATAAATTGAATCATACAATGTGGTCTTTTGTGACGAGCTTTTAAAACTAGCATAATGTTTGAAAACATCATCCATGCTATAGCATGTATCAGTACTTTGTTGCTTTTTATTGTCAAATAATATTCTAGTGTATGAATATACCACATTTTATAAATCTCATCATCAGCTGATGAAACACGTGGGTTGTTTCCACTTTTTTGGTTATTATGAATGATGCTGCTATGAGCAGCATACACATTTTTCTGTGGACTTACGTTTTCAATTCTCTTGCGTGTGCCTAGGAGTAGAACTGCTGGGTCACATGGTGACTCTGTTTAGGCTTCTGAGGAACTGCCAGACTGCTTTCCAAAGTGGCTGCTCCATTTCACAGTCCCATGACCAGTGTAGAAGTGTTCCAATCTCGCCACATCTTTACCAACAGCTGTTACTGTCTTTTTGATTATAGCCATCCTAGTGGGTGTGAAGTGGTACCTCTTTGTTATTTTGATTTGCATTTTTTGATGGCTAATAATATTGAGTATCTTTTCATGTGTTTATTGGCCATTTATATATCTTCTTTCAATAGATTTCTATTCAGATGCTTTGCCCATTTTAAAAAATGTGTTGTCTTTTTATTATTGAGTTGCAAAAGTTCTTTATATATTCTAGATACAAGTCCCTTATCATACATATGATTTGCAAATATTTATTCCCATTCTGTAGACTTTTTGCTTTCTTGCTAGTGTCTATTGAAGCACAAAAGTTTTAACTTTTGATAAAATCAATTTACCTATTTTTCCTTTTATTGGTTGTATTTTTGGTATCATACCTAAGGAAGTTTTGCCTAGCTCAAGTTCCCAAAGATTTATAGCTATATTTTCTTCCAAAAGTATTATAACTTTAGCTCTTTTCAGTCCATTTTGAGTTAATATTTTTGTAGGATGAGAGGAAAAGACCCAACACTTCATTCTTCTGCCTGTGAATATTCAGTTGTACCAAGGCCATTTGAAGATGATTCTTTAGTCTTCACTGAATTGTCATGGCACAAATGCTTCTTTAAAAGTATCACGTTCATTTTTTGTGAATGTAAACTCTTTTTTTTTCTTTTGAGACAGGGTCTTACTGTGTCACCCAGGCTGAAGTGCAGTGGCGCGAACATGGTTACCTATAGCCTCTACCTCCTGCACTCAAGCAATCCTCCTGCCTCAGCCTCCCGAGCAGCTGGAACCATAGGCACATGCCACCATGCCCACCATTTTTTTCTTTTCTTTTCTTTTTTTTTTGGGGGGGGTAGTCTGGGTCTTGCCTTCTTACCCAGGATGGTCTAGAACTCCTGGGCTCAAGTGATCCTCCCGCCTTGTCCTCCTAATGTGCTGGGATTACAAGCATGGGCTACCAGGCCTAGTGAATATAAACTCTTCTCTTTAAAGAGAGCCATGATTTTTATTTAAATTATCTTCCTACAAAGTCTGTTTCCTATAAGTTTCTTTTTTTTTCCTTCTATTTTGTCCTCTATCTTTCACATTAAGAGGTTTACTTCAGTTATCCTGTGATCCTAGATCTATGCTCATATTTAACAGCAAGGAACTAAAACACTGATTGGAAGCACTGAGCTTTTAGGTGAGTGGGGTTTGCTTCACTGCAGAATGATCTGGGCATTTCCCACCTCCAATGTCAGTATTTTTGTTTTTCCTCTTGGGTTAGTCAGACTGATCAAATAAGGATTTTCCAATGTCTTGTCTAGGGGGTAATAAGCCTTAATGTTTATGCTACGGGAGGTGAATGAAGTAATATGAACAGAGATTCTTAACATTCAGTGTGTAAACAATTACTTAAAAGCCCTTTTTCAGTAAGTGATTCCCATCTTTAACTGTGCCTGGGGTCCTTCAGTTCAGACACCATTTCTTTTACTCTTCGGCAGGATAAACCTCCATCTCTTGGAGTGCAACATGGAGTGAGGGAGGGAGGGAAACCAGAGTCTCTAAGACTTTCAACCAATCCTCCAGTTTTTAGCCTTACTTTCACTCTCACTTCTGGAGGAAGCTGGCACTGTTAATTCCCTTATCTTTTGGGGTTCTGTTGTTTAAGGAAGCTTCTAAGCTTTTCTTAATACTAGCTTAGCAGTTATAGTCCTCTGATTTGCCAAGTCCCTTACCACTAACTTGCAGGCATCACAGTTTTGCAAATTTGGTTGCAGCTTTCACTTCTCCCATTTGTAGTCCACTAGGGGTTTATTCCTTTTCTTTTCATTCTCTTTTTTCTTTTCTTTTTGAGATGGGGTCTCTCGCTCTGTCACCTAGGCTGGAGTGCAGTGGCATGATCTTGGCTCACTGAAACCTCTACTCCCCAGGCTCAAACAGTCCTCCCACCTCAGCCTCCTGAGTAGCTGGGACCACAGGCACACACCACCATGCCCGGCTAATTTTTGTATTTTTAGTAGAGACAGAGTCCGCCATGTTGCCCAGGCTGGTCTTGAACTCCTGAGCTCAGGCAATCCGTCCACCTCAGCCTCCCAAAGTTCTGGCATTACAGGCATGAGCCACCGTGCCTGGTCTCCTTTTTAATTCTCTTAACAATTCTTTCAGTAGATTATTTTTGGCAGGAGAGTGGAAACAAATGTAGGTATTCAGCAAGGCTGGAGTGCAATGGTATGATCACAGTTCACTGTAGCTTCACCCTCTCAAGTGATCCTCCCACCTCAATATCCTAGGAAGATGAGACTAGATGTGTACACCACCACACCTCATTAATTTTTAAATTCTTTTTGTAGATATGGGGTCCCACTATGTTGCTCAGGCTGGCCTTGAACTCCTGGATTCAAGCTGTCCTCCCACCTCAGCCTCCCAAGCACGAGTCACCACATTCCCAGCCTGAGGCTCACTTTTTTCTTTTGAGACAGAGTCTCGCTCTGTCGCCCAGGCTGGAGTACAGTGGCACAATCTCGACTCACTGCAACCTCCCTCTTCTGGGTTCAAGTTATTCTCATGCCTCAGCCTCCCGAGTGGCTGGGATTACAGGCATGTGCTACCACGCCCAGTTAATTTTTGTATTTTTAATAGAGATGAGGTTTCACCACGTAGGCCAAGCTGAGCCTGAACTCCTGGCCTCAAGTGATCCACCTGCCCTGGCCTCCCAAAGTGCTGGGATTATAGGTGTAAGCCACCGTGCCCGACCTACTCTTCTTAAATTAATCAGATTTCAGATACTAAATCAAGATGTCTCTCAGGTGGGATTTATTATAAACAATAATAAGCACAGAAATTTTAAGATATATATTATTTAAGAATATCCTGTGTGTCAGGAGCTATTCTAGGCTCACTGAAGATATGGTAATGAAAAAAAGTCCCTGTTCTCATTAAGCTTTTATTCTAATGGTACAGAAAGACTGTAAAACGTCAGATGGTGATAAGTAGGATAAAGGGACAGAGAGTCATGGGAGGGTATTATTTTAGTAATCAGAGAATATTATTCTGAGGAAGGGTCATTTGAATAGACTTGACAGAAAGCGAAGGAATTAGTCAAGTGAGATTTTAGCCTAGATTTTAGATTTTAGCTATCCATAAGGATAATCTTCCAGGTCTCACCCACTAGAGACATGACTTTGATTGGTTTTGGATGACACTGTTTACGTTTCTTAAGTCCCCAACTGATTCTGATATGTAACAATGAGTTACAGCCACTGAAAATGGTGTATCTCTAAATCAGAGAGACAAGTTGACTATTCTACCAGTGCTTATTAAGAATATCATTTCCAAGTATTTAATATACTTTTCTGGTTCTTTATTGTGTTAAATTATTGGAATAATATCAAAATTTCCAAGCAGTGAGATCTATGGAAGAGAGTAAGTCACTGCTAGTATAATTCTTCTAACTTCTTGGACAGGCCTACCACTATATTATATAAGGTATAAATAAGACCTTTACCTTCTTCAGGTCTACCTCAGCAGAAGCCCAAGCTGCCTCCTTTCCTGCACATTGGATAAGTCTGCTTGAGTGAGTAAGTAAGAGAGGGGAAAAGGGAAAATTTTCTTCTCCCTGCTCTCACTGAGGTTCATAAAAGTATCATGGACAGGAAAATTAATATATGCTGCCCAAACTGAGATATTACAGCATTCTCTACACTCACATTATGACCTAATCTCTTAGAAATTACGTATGCATAATAAGGTTCTTTCAGTCTTTCAGTAAAAGTAACAGAAAATTTGGAGTTACAAGAGGGTACTGTGACTTATGGTCAAAGCTATAAATGCTATGTAAAATCACAACTCACTCTGGTAGCTGGAAACAGTTATCAAACAGAGTTTGTGACTGATTTACCAATTAATTTCTAGCATACCTTTTCATCCTAATAGATAGCAGAGTAATACCAAGGCATACAGTAGACCAAAGATATCTGCTGAATGAATGTATCAAAGAATGCTTTAGAAAGGACTGAAAGAAAACCAGTAATACTCATATACTGTTAACAATGTATTACTTAACATATTTTTAAAATGCAAAAATAAAGTAAATCTACTCTAAGTAATTTTTCAGGAAAACTGAGTTAAATTCCGATTTACCTTTTTTGCTCTTTCAGAAATGGTTGGTGCTCTCTGCAATATTTTTTCTTGAAGAAATTCTTTATTCTGGAGAGGAAAAGTAAGTATTTTGTTCTTATAAGTTTTTATGGAACCGAACAAACCCCACAAAAATGTTCACCATAATCAAAATGTGATATAGTGACAGGTCTGTAATGAAGTATGAGAAAAACTTTTTTACTCTGAAGCTCCTTTAGTACATTATTATCACAATTTCATAAATTGAGACAGAAAATTAAGATGTAGCACACCGTATGAACCATTGCCTATGAAAAGTTTGCTGTACTGTATGTTCTTTGAGATCATGGTCCTCCATTTCCAACTACAGTAACATCCCACCACCTGATATCTCCAGGAAATGAGATGTTTACAAATTCAGCAGCAAACCTTAGTTAAAATCAGAGTTCATTATTTTTCACAAATTATATTTATAATGGCAAAATAATCATTGTTCCTATGATTAGTTTAACCTAATATTTAAAAATGGATTTACTAAAGTATCTTAATTACCAAAGATTGTATACATAGTGCTTTCTACAATTATTTTATCTACCATCATTTTTCCAAACATAATCATGCAGCTCTGAGCAGTGAACATAATCTGAGTAACTGAGGAGCATCCTATGAATACACATAATCAAAAGCTGGGATTTCCTACCTTTGCTTTCTGGAAAAATTTGTGCCTTAACAGTTCTGCTGCTGTTGGTCTAAAACCACGGGGGGAAGGAAGAAAAGTTTTTACAGTTAATTCAAGTGTAATGTGAGATTTCATCATTAAAAATGAGAAAATAAATTTTTCAACAGTAAAATAAAAACTCAGTATACTCTACTTTCCTTAAACTGCTAAAAAGCAAAAATAAAATAAACTTGGTATAAGACATTCAATAAAATAAAAAACTCAAAACAGAAATACTCTGACTGTAATTACTGTAAATTGAGAAAATCATTAGTGAAATGTTTCTTCTGGAAGCATGATTTCTTAATGGAGTCTAATATATTTGTTATTTAATAATAATTAATATTATTCATTTAATATTATTTCCCAATAAGTAAGCTAGACAATCTCTATCTAACATTTTTAGCAAGGCATAAAAACATACTTAAACATACAAAGAAGAAATGGATCAGATCAAGACCTCCACTTCTTGCCACACGGTAGCCTGCCAGCCTTCAATTTAGGTAACCACAGATCCTTAAAAATAGATTTCACAATCTCCCTTTAAAAATGAAAATTCTAAAAGTAAAGTATATTCCCCAAATTTAACAAAACTCAGTGTTTAACTCATCTCTTCTTGGTTTTATTTCATTTTGAGTAAAGACATGACTGTCAATTTTACAAGCTTTTAAAAGAGTATTATTCAGAATAAAGAACTTAATATTTAAGAGACTGGACCTGATTTTGCCACACACCTACCATGTGATCCTGGACCTGATTTTGCCAACACCTACCATATGATCCTGAGCAAATCACAGCTTCTCTAAGGTTCAGTATTACTTAGCCAAGCCCCTAAGAGCAGTTCTTAAACACTGCAGTACATTAAACTATCTGGGAAGAATGTAAAAACCCCAATGACCAGCTGGGTGCAGTGGCTCGCACCTGTAATCCCAGCATTTTGGGAGTCTGAAGCAGGTGGATCACAAGGTCAGGAATTCAAGATCAGCCTGGCCAATATGGTGAAACCCTGTCTCTGCTAAAAAAAAATACAAAAATTAGGCAGGCGTGGTGGCACACACCTGAAGTCCCAGCTCCTTGGGAGGCTGAGACAGCAGAATCACCTGACTCCAGGACCTGGAGGTTGCAGCAAAATAAGATTGTGCCATTACACTCCAGTCTGGGTGACAGAGCGAGGCTCCGTCTTAGGAAGGAAAAAAAAAAAAAAACAAAAAAAAAAAAAACAATGACCAGGCTGTACCTCATACCAATTAAAGCAGAATCTTCAGGACAGTTAACTCTTCTTATTGCACTGATCCCTTTACCATTATGTAATGCCTTTCTTTGTCTTTTTTGATCTTTGTTGGTTTAAATCTGTTTTATCAGAGACTAGAATTGCAAACCGTTTTTTCGTTTTGTTTTGTTTTTTGCTTTCCATTTGCTTGGTAAGTCTTCTTTAATCTCTTTATTTTGAGCCTATGTGTGTATTTGCACATGAGATGGGTCTCCTGAATATAGCACACAGATGAGTCTTGACTCTTTATCCAATTTGCCAGTCTTTTAATTGGGGCACTTAGCCCATTCACATTTAGAGTTAATATTGTTATGTGTGAATTTGATCCTGTCATTATGATGCTAGCTAGTTATTTTGCCCATCAGTTGATGCAGTTTCTTCATAGTGTCAATGATCTTTATCATTTGGTATGTTTTTGTGGTGACTGGTACTGGTTTTTTCTTTCAATATTTAGTGCTTCCTCTCTCAGCATTTGCTTGTCTATAAAGGATTTTATTTCTCCTTTGCTTATGAAGCTTAGTTTGGCTGGATATGAAATTCTGAGTTAAAAATTCTTTTCTTTAAGAATGTTGAAGGCCAGGCATGATGGCTGATGCCTGTAATCCCAGTACTTAGGAGGCTAAGGCAGGTGAATTACCAGAGGTCAGGAGCTCAAGATCAGCCTGGCCAACATGGCAAAACCCCATCTCCACTAAAAATACAAAAATAAGCCAGAAGTGGTACTGCACGTCTATAGTCTCAGCTACTCAGGAGGCTGAGGCAAGAGAATCACTTGAACCGGGAAGTGGAGGTTGCAGTGAGCCAAGATTGTGCCACTGCACTCTAGCCTGGACAACAAACACTAAAGACCCTTCAAAAACATCAATAAATCCAGGAGCCGGTTTTTTGAAAAGATTAACAAAATAGACAGACTGCTAGCCAGAATAATAAAGAAGAAAAGAGAGAATCAAATAGACACAATAAAAAAAGATAAAGGGGATATCACCAGTGATCCCACAGAAATACAAACTACCATCAGAGAATACTATCAATACCTCTATGCAAATAAACTAAAAAATCTAGAAGAAATGGATAAATTTCTGGGCACATACAACCTCCCAAGACTAAACCAGAAGGAAGTCAAATCCCTCAATAGACCAATTTCAAGTTCTGAAATTGAGGCAGTAATTAATAGCCTACCAACCAAAAAAAGGCCAGAACCAGACGGATTCACTGCCAAATTCTACCAGAGGTACAAAGACGAGCTGGTACCACTCCTTCTGAAACTATTCCAAACAACAGAAACAACAGAAAAAGAGGGAATCCTCCCTAACTCATTTTATGAGGCCAGCATCACCCTGATATTAAAACTTGGCAGAAACACAACAAAAAAAAAGAAAATTTCAGGCCAATATCCTTGATGAATATCAATGCAAAAATCCTCAATAAAATACTGGCAAACTGAATCAGCAGCACATCAAAAAGCTTATCCATCAAGATCGAGTTGGCTTCATCCCTAGGGCATAAGGCTGGTTCAACATACGCAAATCAATAAATATAATCCATCACATAAACAGAACCAACGACGAAAATCACATCATAATCTCAACGGATGCAGAAAAGGCCTTCCATAAAATTAAACACCGCTTCATGCTAAAAACTCTCAATAAACTAGGTATTGATGGAACATATCTCAAAATAAGAGCTATTTATGACAAACCCACTGCCAATACCGAATGGGCAAAATCTGGAAGCATTCCCTTTGAAAACCAGCACAAGACAAGGATGCCTTCTCTCAGCACTCCCATTCAACACAGTATTAGAAGTTCTGGCCAGGGTAATCAGGCAAGAGGAAGAAATAAGAAATAAAAGGTATTCAAATAGGAAAAGAGGAAGTCAAATTGTCTCTGTTTGCAGATGACATGATTGTATATTTAGAAAACCTCATCGTCTCAGCCCAAAATCTCCTTAAGCTGACAGAAACTTTAGCGAAGTCTCAAAATATAAAATCATTGTGCAAAAATCACAAGCATTCCTATACACCAATAACAGACAAACAGCCAAATCATGAGTGAACTCCCATTCACAATTGCTACAAAAAGAATAAAATATCGAGGACTACCACTTAAAAGGGATGTGAAGGACCTCTTCAAGGAGAACTACAAACCACTGCTCAAGGAAATAAGAGAGATCACAAACATAACATTCCATGCTCATGGACAGGAATAATCAGTATCGTGAAGATGGCCATAGTGCCCCAAGTAATTTATAGATTCAATGCTATCCCCATCAAGCTACCACTGACTTTCTTCACAGAATTAGAAAAAACTAATTTAAATATTACATGAAACCAAAAAAGAGCCTATATAGCCAACAAAATCCCCAAGCAAAAATAGCAAAGCTGGAAGCATCAGACTACCTGACTTCAAACTATACTACAAGGCTATTGTAACCAAAACAACATGGTACTGGTACCAAAACAGACATATAGACCAATGGAACAGAACAGAAGCCTCAGATGTAACACTATACATTTACGACCATCTGATCTTTGTCAAACCTGACAAAAACAAGCAATGGGGAAAAGATTTCTTATTTAATAAATGGTGTTGGGAAAACCAGCTAGCCATATGCAGAAAATGGAAACTGGACCCCTTCCTTGCACCTTGTATGAAAATTAACTCAAGAAGGATTAAAGACTTAAATGTAAGACCTAAAAACATAAAAACCCTAAAAGAAGACCTAGGCAATACCATTCAGCACATAGTTATGGGCAAAGACTTCATGACTAATACATCAAAAGCAGTGGCAGCAAAAGCCAAAATTGACAAATGGGATCTAATTAAACTTAAGAGCTTCTGCACAACAAAATAAACTACTATCAGAGTGAAAACGCAACCCCTACAGAATGGGAGAACATTATGCAATCTATCCATCTGACAAAGGACTAATATCCAGAATCTACAAAGAACTTAAAAAAATTTACAAGAGGCCGGGCGCGGTGGCTCAAGCCTGTAATCCCAGCACTTTGGGAGGCCGAGGCGGGTGGATCACGAGGTCAAGAGATCAAGACCATCCTGGTCAACACGGTGAAACCCTGTCTCTACTAAAAATACAAAAAATCAGCTGGGCATGGTGGCGCGTGATTGTAATCCCAGCTACTCAGGAGGCTGAGGCAGGAGAATTGCCTGAACCCAGGAGGCGGAGGTTGCGGTGAGCCGAGATCGCGCCATTGCACTCCAGCCTGGGTAAAAAAACGAAAACCCGTCCCCAAAAAAAAAAAAAAAAAAAAAAAATTTACAAGAAAAAAACAACCCCATCAAAAAGTGAGCAAGGGATATGAACAGACACTTCTCAAAAGAAGACATTTATGTGGCGAAAAAATATGAAAAAAAGCTCATCATCACTGGCTATTAGAGAAATACAAATCAAAACCACAATGAGATACCATCTCACGCTAGTTAGAATGGCGATCATTAAAAAGTCAGTAGACAACAGATGCTGGAGAGGATGTGGAGAAATAGGAACGCTTTTACACTGTTGGTAGGAGTGTAAATTAGTTAAACCATTGTGGAAGACAGTGTGGTGATTCCTCAAGGATCTGGAACCAGAAATACCATTTGATCCAGCAATCCCATTACTGGGTATATACCCAAAGGATTATAAATCATTCTACTATAAAAACACATGCACATGTATGTTCACTGCAGCACTGTTCACAACAGCAAAGACTTGAAACCAACCCAAACGCCCAGCAATGATAGACTGAATAAAGAAAACGT